ATCATCCAGCACACACACCTTCCAGCACACACACATCATCACACATAACACACACATCTTCCAGCACATACACATCATCACACATCACACACATCACACACTGCATTAATTATACAGAATCTGCACTTACAACAAACACACTACATTCATTGAGAGTAAGTGAGTCTGGTATACCTAGTGTCATACACAGCAGAGAGGGAGTAGGACTAATACTAGGTAGCTGCAAACTGGAACAATAGGGATTCACTAAAACCTATGTGACAAAAATGGAAGAAAGCAATAGGAGAGGAAGTGCAAATAATCCAGGAGCTAGCTAGTGTGTGGCTCAAAGTGTAGGTAGAGAATAAAATAAATACTGATAAGGTGCTATTCAAAAATAGGTGCTGGGCCTTTAAAGAGTGCAAATATCTAAACGTATAAATATATACTGTGCCTTTAAGAATAGTAAAAGATAATATGGATAAAAATACTGAACAAAAACAGAGTGAGAATTGAAATAGAGTGAGAATTTAAAATAGTAGTGGAAGTAAGAATAAAATCAACCAGTAATGTAACAAATCATGGAAGGTGCAGTAACAAACTGTCCCTGAATAGATACAGGGTAACAGATAATAGGTACTTGCACCGGAATAAAATACTTTGTACTAAACAAAGATACAAATGGTAATATGGCACTACAGTATATGGAACTGTGTGCTATAACAACAAAATAAATAACGTAGAGAAGTATAAGCAAAGGTAAAAGAAACTGGGTTGAGAAATAGAATCCAGTTTATTAATGAATAAAATAAAAATGCCAAAATTTAAATTTCATCAAAAATACAAGTCAGTCCATGATAAGGTATAGGTTACCAGTCTAGTGAAGTCCACAAAAGTTCAAAGACCCTCGGATTGAGCCAGGATGGAAGTGGATTGAACTGGCCGTTGGTACCCTGGAATCTGGCTGCCGGTTGAGGACGGCGTGCAGATTGATATGCACGTCCCAGCACGGACCTCACTCCGGGGGACGTACACAGCTGACGGTCTTAGTTCACAGGTTAACCAAAGGTCCTGAACAAGTAGGTGCTTCTGCTGCTGGTTGCTGACAGGATTTGACGTGATGTCTTACGCGTTTCGTGGGGAAATAGCCCCACTTCTTCAGAGACGGAATGAGGACCATTGCTACAACTTCACTTAAATACACATTGTACTGAGTGATAAATTGAAAAATTGAAAAAATGCAATTATCTTTAAGATTTGGTGGCTAAGATAAATAAATAAAATCTCAGTGTATACAATTATATATTGGTTCGTATTGGTGTATTTGTTACATATAAGCATATTGCATCACAAACCAAATTATTATACAAAATTGTTATTACACGTGAATATTATCACACATAAATATTGCTGTGCATGAAATTATGATTTAAATGTATAGGTAATGTTGTAAAAAATGTGGATTATACAAAGAATAACACATCATCCAGCACACACACACATCATCCAGCACACACACACCTTCCAGCACACACACATCATCACACATCACACACACATCTTCCAGCACATACACATCATCACACATCACACACATCACACACTGCATTAATTATACAGAATCTGCACTTACAACAAACACACTACATTCATTATACACACTCTGCACTCATTACAAACACACTACATTCGCTATACACACTCTGCACTCACTACAAACACAGTACATTTACTATACACACTCTGCATTTATTATACACACTCTGCACTCACTACAAACATACACTGTGTAACGGCGCCCCGGTTGTAAAAGATGTTAAAGCCGTGTAGGAGATATTTCCTTTCCAGATACACAGGCAGCTACCGAATACACCAATCCGCCGAACAGGAAAAACCATAAGAAAGGTTTACACTCCAAACTGCCGAACAGGAAAAACCATACAAAAGGTTTACACTCCAAACAGCCGAACAGGAAAACCATACGAATAACCCCCCCAAGTACGAGACAAGGCTCCATATTGAGGGTCAAGCAGTGATCTGGTTTAATGGGGCTAACTGCCCAGGAATTTATGCAGGTCTTCCAACAGGTGGACACTCCCCTAGTGGACCTGGTGGAAAACTGTGACAATTTTACACAGTAACCAATCACAGACATACACAGTTAAACACTCCCACATGTACATTGTAATCCCTCCTCTCTATCCTGTAGATAATTGTGAAGTAACTCAATTATCTCTGAGGATAGAAACTAACCTCCATTTTACAAGCGGGGAGAAAAAATGCATAAAAATCCACAAGTTATAAACTACCGAATAAAACATATACATTCAACAAATCCCCAGATAGCTTAGGTCTGAGCGCACCAAACTACCAAACAGCGCTCAGATCGGATGCATACAGTTCAATCGCCATGGAGCCAAATTCTTTCACTTAGTCCTTTCGTTATAAGAATGGGCTCCATGGGATAGCTATCTGAGGTGGCTACGTTCATATGAAAAGTACCGAACGGACGGTGTTCGTATGAAAGGGAAACAGATGAAGGGAGGTCGGCAGCTTCAGCTGTGTTCGTGTGAAAATAGTAGCCGTTTTTAGTTCCACGAAATCGTCGACGAACACCGCTGGGCATTCGTATGTCCAAGATGGCCGCCCATCCAGCGTACATTCGACAATTAGGAAGTGTCTGCGGTTAACCACAAAGTTCTGATGGGGCCAAGAGGTTAACAAGCAGCACACTTCCATGCTGGGTGGCCGGCCGTTCTGCAAATTTTTCAGTAAAAGGGGACTAATGCGTGGGGACTGTACGGACAGGGAAATAGCCGAAAAAACAGATGAATGAAAAGGGGAATAAAAGTAATTCACAGACAGATGGGTCTGTCACACACTGCATTCATTATACACACTACATTCACCATACACACTCTGCACTCACTACAATCACACTACATTCATTATACACACTGCACTCACTACACACACTGAATTCATTATACACACTCTGCACTCACTACTAACACACTACATTCATTATACAAAATCTGCACTTACTACAAACACACTACCTTCATTATACACACTCTGCACTCACTACAAACACACTACATTCATTATACACACTCTGCACTCACTACACAGTACATTCATTATACACACTGCACTCACTATAAACACACTACATTCATTATACACACTCTGCACTTACTACAAACACACTACATTAATTATATACAATCTGCACTTACTACAAACACACTACATTCATTATACACACTCTGCACTCACTACAAGCACTCTACATTCATTATTCATACTCTGCACTCACTACACACACTACATTCATTATTCATACTCTGCATTCACTACAAACACACTCCATTCATTATACACACTCTGCACTCACTATAAGCACACTACATTCATTATTTATGCTCTGCACTCACTACAAGAACACTACATTCATTATTCATACTCTGCATTCGCCACAAACACACTACATTCATTATACACAACCTGCACTGCACTATATGCATAGGAGTGTATTGTTTTGTTTTTTTAGGAGAGGGGGGGGAATCTTGGGTGAGTTCCCATACTTTTTTCCCCAGGACTTGACTCCTGGTATAGTGTATTTTGCCAGAAGTAATTTGTGCGTGTCCTAATGTAGTAACTGGTGGCTGGTCGTCTGCCTCACAGCCCTGAGGTGCTCATCAAGCTGCCTCTAGGAAAGTGGCGTTGAGACAGAAAATACAGCCCGACTGCATAAACCAGACAAGTAAAGTTTATTTTTACTGTGAGAATCTCTAATTTTATGACAGAATTCACATTACAATATGGGATGCACTAACTGGATTGCCCTGATGAAGCCTAACTAACTGCACCATAAAAATATTTTTGAGTGAGAAGGTTTGAAATTCTCAGCGAGTGACACTTAGAGAAGTGAGGGCATAAAATATACACTATAAGAGTATAATAGTCACTATATTGGCGATATACGTTAGTGTGCCAATATATCTCAATGGATAGTGCTTGGTCATCTTGGAATCACAAGCACGATTAACAGAAAAGTCAATTCATCCCTTTATCTATGACTGAGTTTCTTCATAGCTCTTTATCTTCTAGGCCCAGGAGTTCAGAGCCCAGCTCCTGACATATAGGGTATTTCATGCACCCAACACAGAGACCTACTGCATCAAATATGGCGCCTGTACCTGCTCATTTATCGGTTTCACTCATCCAAATGCCTCCATCCATGATCATTGCTAGTTAAACTGAAGTGGAAGTGTTTAAGTGGAGTTGTGTATCAGCGTAGCATAGTTTTGTATTTCACTTTTTGTAACCTAACACAAATTGACATCTTTGATGCTGCCTCCGAGATGTCCTCCTAGCCCTCAACCTCCAATACCTCCCCTAGTTCAACTTTCAATTGGTCTGTGCATCGAAGTACACCCTACTCATTAGTAATAGCACAGATATAGTTATAAAGCCCCGTTATTTCTGAAAAACTCCAGAAGAGTATAACATCCCCAAATGTATACTATGTCAATGTCTGATCATCATTCAGACTCCACTCATAGTTTATTATTAAAATAGAATTCCTACTTCCTATTATATTACAGTTGACTACCTGCTATCTAAATCCCTGTTCCTTTGTGACTTATAAAGGTTAATGTATACATTGCATTTTACTTACAGTCACACAATGTAGTTCCTTACATGATGACTGTACACATCCTGAACTGATCTGTCTGATATAAATGCTATAAATAAAAAAATATAATAATTAGAAATACAGAAAGAATGTGTGTATTAATAAAATATATATTAGCTAAATATATTAAGCATGTCTGTGAAGGCTGAGAACACATCTGACTGAGACATTGTAACATGCAAATTAAATAATTTCATTATGTTTTTATTTTCCTTGCATTAGATAATACTGATCTGGGGGGAGGGGGGGGCATGGGGGAGATCTATAACTATCATAACAGGATAAATAAATACACAACTTGTATTAATATGCCTTCACCATCACTGGTAACATAACAGCATCCTTTGTCTGTGATTGACTGATGTAGCAGACAATGCACTTGCTCATATGAGTGTAGTTTTGATTTGCTTGCCACACATTCCCAAATCACCCCCTCTTCTCCTTCTATCCTACCCTTGCTTCATGCTGGTAAGTGTGTCACTGTAAGCAGTGACAACCCATCTACTGCTTCTTTAGAGATGAGAACTTACACACAAAGAGAGCAGACTAGGGAGATTCTATACAGGCAGATCCCATTCCCATATGAAAACAGCAAGTCTCTGACCTGTCACTGGCTTCTTGCTTCCCCCTTACACTGAACAGCTGGACTTCAAGACCTGCTTTATTGTTTGTTTTTCCCTCTTTGCTGGTAAGTGACTTTTGCATGTCTTTGTTTTCTTCTTAATTTATCCAAATGCAGACATTGCAAAGAACTGGGAGCTGGGGGTGCACTTAAATCTATTTATTGTCCTTTCATTTCTATGCACCTGTCATGAGAAATAAGTGATCAATGCTTGCTTTTAAAAGCATGAGAGGTAATGAATTGTGTAAAGCATGCTGATACAGTATTGTATGTGTCTGATATTAATATTTTAACTGTTAAAAGTCACCCATTCATTAACTGTTTATGTACTTTGCTTGCTTGTGAGTGCCAAGTATATGGTCACACATGGTCCCACAAATGTAAGGGAGATACATTGGTACATTGTTTCATAACATTCATTATAAAGTGAGTATTTCTAGGTTAATATTAGATTTAGTATAGGAAAACTCTCATAATGGATTTAATGATATTTATTTATTAAATAGTGAATTTTACTAAACTGAAAATTTAATGGCAAAATGTATTCAAACCTAGCCAGGCTGTGACTGTTACTGATGGGGTAAGTGTTTTCAATTTGTACTTTTTCCTTGAATGTAAAACATTTCTGTTTAGAATGCAGTACATTCTGGTGTTTAGTAATACACCCTGATGGATTAGTGATGGTATTAACTTATGGCATTCTGTTGGTTAGAATTCCAGTTGCTGTGGACAACCTTACCATGCCCATGGTGGGTAGGAAAATATCATGCAAACTGAGTCTACAGCACCTGGAGGGGGTAAACAATGTGTGACCCTCCACTTAAATTATCATCACCCTCCAAAGATGAGGTTTTGAATAGTCCTGTATCTATTTTTGACTATTTAGCATGGTGATACACAAATAGTAATGATAATAGTAATAAAAATAAATAATAATAATAAGTATCAGATGTTGTTTGCCGCTGGCCACTGTAAATAGCTACCCTACATTGTGCTAATTCTTGCTGCTATTCATTTCTCATGTTCTTTGCACAGCTGTTGGGTATTTTCCATGTGAGAATGATGGGAATTGTAGTCAAACAGAGCTATAGATTCCAGGAGTGCTATGTAATGGTCTAATTCTCCATTCTCCTGTAATATCCAGAATGGGATCTTGGATGGGGCTTCCTGGTGTGCACAGACATGCTGGGACAGTTGAGATCACAGGGAGGTGAAAAGCCTCAGCTCTTCTTTGGTAATTGACTTCACATTACTTCTCCTTGAAAAGACATTATTGACTGAGTATTGTAGCTGTAAAGCTTTTCTGTGAGTGCCCGGCTAATGGGAGAGTAAAAGCGTTTTGGGAGAAGGTTTGCATGCTTTTTTTTTGCTTTTTTTAGACAGTAAATAAATATAGAAGAGGCTTTGATGTGTCCCTCTCGGATGCAGCAGCTGCTATCAAGTCTTCATATTGTTCTTAGCATTTGGACAGTTCCAACCAATTACACAGATCAGCACCCCTGAGAGCATACAGGTCACCTCTTTTGGTCCTGATGAAATAGCTGCATTACCTCACACAGAGTGTCTCTAATCTACTCTATCTCTTATTTTACAGGGCAAAAGTTCCAATGACTAATGTGTAACATCACGGGTCTATGGTTCCAATGTAAGTATGAATCCATTCATTCCAGAAAAACACAATTAATGGTCAATATTTACTGAATACATCTACATCTACCTACCTACCTACCTACCTATCTATCTATACTACATCTGCCTACCTGTCTAACTGCCCACCTGTTTGTATCTATCTATCTGTCTGTCTATCTATCTATGTCTGTCTGTCTATCTATCTTATATCAATCTATCTATTATCTCTATCTATCTATCTATCTGTCTGTCTGTTTGTTTGTCTGTCTATCTTACGTCAATCAATCTATTTATTATCTCTATCTATCTATCTTTCTATATATATTTTATCAACCAATCTATCTATTATCTATCTATCTTTCTATTAATCTATCTATCTATCTGTCTGACTGTCTATCTGTCCATCCTTCTATTTATTTATCTGTCTATCCATTTGTATCACTGGCATTATACAATAAAACCCTAGTGTCATCCTAATATCAGGGTAGGTTTAGTTATCCCATTTCAAATCAAGTCTTCAAATCTTTCTTTTTTTCTGCCCATTGTTGTCTAATCGTGATGCTCATGTGATCCCTGGTTAGGGAGAGAGTCTGAAAGATTGATAGGTAGACAGGGAATGAGGAACAGAAATATCTGAGTAAACACATATATCACAACACAAAGCCAATGTCATTCATGATTTATTTATACTAGATGTACAGTTAGACATGAATGATAAAACATACACATTCTGAGCAGTGCTGACCTTTATTCAAAAATACCAACAATTCACTTACACGTGTTATGTCAACATTTCAGACTTTTGTATTTTCTATATTTAAAGGAGTATTTGTACTTTTTATATATAACGAAGAATATATACAATATCATTACAGATATTAACGTGATTTCCTTTTAAAATACCTTCTAAATAAATAAATAAATATCCAATCAAACGTCTATATGGCATGGATGGATGGATGTATGGGTGGATGGATGGTTGGATGAATGGATGGATGTATGGGTGGATGGGTGGGTGGATGTATGGGTGGATGGGTGGGTGGATGTATGGGTGGATGGGTGGGTGGATGGTTGGATGAATGGATGGATGTATGGGTGGATGGGTGGGTGGATGTATGGGTGGATGGGTGGGTGGATGTATGGGTGGATGGGTGGATAGATAGATAGATAGATAGATAGATAGATAGATAGATAGATAGATAGATAGATAGATAGATAGATAGATAGATAGATAGATGCTACGGATATTACAGAATAAATGAGTATACACTAACAGTTGCATTAATGGACAGATAACACTGACCGATAAGGGATGTTTTGCCATCTGAGATTAGTGAGTCCCAGACAGAAGCTATTCCACTGATTTCATTAAAATGGAGGCATGTGTCAGTAAAGAATGCACCCCCCAGATTGCACAGAGGTGCTGCGCAGTGCAATATTACCCATTTATTACAGATTATATCACCATCCATCCAGAACACAATTCTAAAACATGATCTGTCAATTAAAAAAGCAGGCACATCAGGTCATATATATAGTATTGGCAAACCAGAGTGAGAGAGTGATTGCCAAGCTCTATAAAATGAAAGGGACATTATAGGTACCCTGACCAATCATCTCAATAACATGGTCTGGGTGCCATGTCCCTCTAGGTTTAACTCTGCGAGTCAAAACATTGTCATTATTTGGGAATGGCAATATTTTCATTGTAAGGTTTAAGTTTCTCTAGTGGCTAAAATTCAGACAGCCACTAGAGGCGCTTACTCCAAAATAGCCGACTAAAACTATTTCAATCTGATTGGCGTGGAGCAGTGTTTTGCTGTGAATGCACGTTAGCCTATCAAAACATTGGATTGACTGAGAACACCAAGATTGATGATCTCAGCCCAGAAGTTAGGGCCCTCTGCGGATAGAACAGCGCAGCGCTGGTAAAAAGAAAAAGCGCAGTGTGGGATAAAAGGCAAGTGAATTACTTTTTTAAACGATGACTAGAGCACTATGGGGTAAAAATGCACATTTGTATTCCTGACGCTTTAGTGTTACTTTAATTACAAAAGTAAATTATAGGTCTGTTTTTAAACTATCAATTATGCTCTGGTCGCAAAATTAAGGTAAAAGTAGAAAATTTTATCAACAACGTAATTGGATTTTTTTTTCAAGTTTTAAGTCACTGCAATTAATTGATTCTAACAATATATATTTTTACTAAAGCAGAAATAATTCCATAGTTATTTGCCTTCCAGTACGTCTCCACAGTGTTCAGAGCAATAAAGAGTTAACAGGCAGTGTGACTCTCCACTCAGGTTCATCTGCTCTGTTTTCCATTTTCAGAATATGACCTTCCTAATAAGAAGGAGAATTGTTGGGGCCTTCACACATGCCTTCCGGACGAGGAAAACTCATTCCCTTTCAAATCCATTAATGCATCTTGCATGTGTTTGAATGTTACCCAGCTGTGTATTAATTTCATTTCTGTTCCTGACAATCCTCAGGCAAGAATAAGAATATGTGATGCAGCATGGGATCATCTTTATAATAATATTTGCCAAAGAATAATTTAATTTAATGATCTGTTACAAAAATATACATAATAATCGTTTACTTCTCAATGCCACTAGTAAAAACACTATTTTATCAACCTTTTGAGAGCCAGAGGTGTTTCTAAAACATTATAAATATCCAGATATAAGCAGGGCTGAATTTTTCGTCATTAAATGAGTGTCATTCTATTTACTCTTAATAAAGAGTCTTTAATGTGACAGCGCACTTCGTAATTACATTTTAAAAGAGTATTTTTTATCTTAACATATAACTATAAAATTAATATTTTGTAACCAGACTATAAATTGCTAATAATCATAAATATTCTGCTTGAGACACAGTTAATTGTTGCCAAACTACTTCGTTTTCCAGCTGAGCTAAAACTGATTAACGATTTCCTTTTTGGGATTTTATATCCAGTATCTCAAGAGTGCCCTCTACTGGCCCAAATGGCACAATAATTTAAAAGCCACTTTTATATATATAAAAATAAATAATAATGTGAAAGCAATGATAGAACTGTTCATAAGGTTGATATTCTGGCTTTTTAAATTGTCATGATGCTCTGAAAGTTCGACTTTTTGCCCTTAAATTTGAAATTCACTTTAAATTCACCTTGAACTCTCAGTTTAGTAAGTAGCTCTTTTAATTTTAGCGTTAACTGAGAGATGTTATTGAAGGAAAACAACTGGATCATTTTTTTTTAATTTTAAGAAAAGGGCAGTGTAGGGCAAAAGTTTATTTTTTCAAACATCAGTGCATTGTGGTGAATTTATTTAATGAATAATTAAAAAAAAACACTAAAATATAAATAAAAATGAATAAATAAATAAAATTATTAAATAAATAAATGTCAAAATTTAGCCAAAAACTGCAGATGGAAATAAATTTCCCAACTCCCCTATTGACACAGTTTAACTATTGTAGCCTTAATTTAGCAATTCAGGTTTTTATTTTTTTATTTTTTTATTTTATTTTATATTGGTTTTTATTAATTTATTTATTTTTAAAGTCAGCCATTCTGAAATTTTATTTTAAAAAAATGTAGGGACACTGCAAAAATCCCCAAAAGTAGGACATAAATAGATGGACTTACACATTTTATTTTTTTTACTGTGAACAAAGTATTCATGGGCTAAATGTATCTCGTAAATGACTGTGTGAAAGTAGACCTCAGTAAGCCCACCTCCACTGTGAGTGCATCAGTGAACGCTAACACAGCTAGCTGTGTGAAGCAGACATGGGGGATGGGCAGTGTATATACTGAAGTATCTGAAGGCATTCAAGTGAATTGGATGGCACTTCACACTTCGTGATAACAAAGTTCCATGTTCTTCTTCACTGCCTTTCAGCATGAATGGTGGCTTATTGTAGCATGTTCTATCCTTCTTTACTCAACAGATGCATAGAATGTTTACAGTGTGCTATGGATATTCTAACATGCAGGTTGAAAGAACAAATATGAAATGTCCCACTGTTTTGTTACATATCACATTGTGTGTGGGTGGGCAGCTCCACATTGTCTCCTTCCGCAAAATTGTCACCATATTTACTCGGGAACAATCTAAAAGACATCACGTGGCTCTAAAATCCTACATAATGTTATAATACTTTATTTGTTAAGGACGCACATAGGAGAGGCCATGTGTAACTCTAACACAAATTAAGGGGGAGTAACGGGCTCAACAAATTAGTGGGGTAAGAAAAAAGACAATAATAAAAACAGTTTTGTTAGTAGATGAGGTCAGGTTAATGTAGATAACGTGATCTTATTTTTTTTATTTATTTTTTATCGAATATTATATAGGGATATTATTTATTGTTAACTGTAATAACTTTAATAATAATCCCTAATTGAAACAATTAATAACAAGAACATAAAAAAGGTTTTATAGAGATCTGAGTCTGCAATATTTCCTGTAACAATGTTTTTTTTGGGTGGGGGAGGATTTTTTTATTATGTCTGCTGGATCATATAGGTACAGGCTTTCACTTGGTGCTAATCTTTCTTACAGGAGGTTTTTCACTAAAGTGAGAATGGTCACGAGTGAATCCAATGTTTTTATTTACCTATTTTTTACCTTCAATTCGCTTTGTATTCACTTTGAAATTCTGACAATCCTCACTGTTGTGAAGAACCTTATAGTCTGAGCTCATTTAATCATCAGTGACTCAGAACAGGCACATGTAAAATCAAATAGGATGTGGTGACTATCATGACTGTCCTTGCCGGATTTAGGACTATTGGCAAGTATGATTACACATACAACACTAAATCTCTCTCACACATATACACAGTCACCAAAGCATTCCTGAGCCATCCACCAGTGTAACATCTTCCTCTTCTGTGTGACAACAAAGCTTCAAGAAATTAGTATGAGTAAGGGGAGAGGAGTGAGTGGGGTGAGGAGGATGGGAAGTGTTAGACAACAGGGTTATTCCCACCAGGATAAGGAAGATGTAACATGTATAGCATTATATTGTTCCAGTTATCACCCAACGGGAAGCTGGTTCCTATTGGCTGGACATATCTGTAGAAAACTACTTTTCAAGTCTAGAATTTTTCTGATTTCCATCAGATCCCAAACATCCACTGATTTCATAGTGAGAGTTCGAACAGCGAAAGAGAAACAGTCAATTTGGAACTGACTGTGAAGAATAAAAAGTACTTTGTCTGTAGTATCTTTCCTCCGTTAGTTTTCTGCTCTTCGATGCTCGAACCAAATTATTTTATAACATGAAAATAGGATTCTGCAGTGTTCAATCACAAATGATTACGGCTTCCTGTTTGGGGACTCAGATCTCCGTAGTGCCTCTATCCTAATCCACTCTTTTCTAGGAACTCGAAATATTTATAGTGTAAAAAGGTTTTTATCTGACAGTTTTCCAGCATGCAGTAAGGCCCTGATCATAGTTGTGACACAGTATCTACTTCATTTTAGCTCTAAAGTTTTTTAAAATGGTGACATTTACAGGAAAGGTGATGCCCAAAGTGCCGTCTAAAGGGATGTTGTATGACGAGAACTGAATAGGCTCCGTGAGTACTGATAAAGGATGAAGGGTTATTGAACAGTTGGCAGCAATAGGGAAGATACATTTCCACGTAATGTGTCACTCAGGCAAACTTTCAGTTTAGTTTCCAGGATCGAGAGACTTTGCTTAGTGGGCGAAGTGGTACTTTTTTGGTCCTCAGCGGTAGATAAGCTCATATATGCCATCCTTGGGTATTTGGATCCTCTGCATGGACTAAATGGTAGAAGGGCCTTAAATATCTCTTCTAATGTAAGAAAGGATCTAAGACAGGGGCAGGCAACCTTTGGCACTACAGATGTTTCGGACTACATCTTCCATAATGCTCTTACACACGTAATTCTGGCAAAGCATCAAGGGAGATGTGGAGTGCAGATGGTTGCCCACCTCCACTCTAGGGTATTACCAGACCCTGAACCAAATTAACTGAAATAAAATAAATTCTATCAACAAACATAAAGAAGTAATGAAATGGCGCAACGACTCACTCCCCTCCACCATCACTGGAGTTCTTCTGATGCAGCCGTTTCCAGCATATACTGACATTTCCCTCAAAAAGTGATTTTTGGAGTTCCTTACCTTCAATACAGCATAATAATGAGAACTGCTGGTATATGCGGTCAGTTAGTGATGTAAGTTATGGTCTTTTCAATCCAATACATGTATCCAAGATGGCCACCATAATTACATCAGTGCTTCAACTTCTAGGGATTTATTATCCAGAAGACGAATATGAAGTCGTTTTCAGATGGAATTCTGATGGGACTGATGGCAATGACACCAACTCTTCAGCTGTCTCTAACTCTATGGACAGTGAACAGACCAGCAGACTTTAATTTCTTATCAAGAGATGACATTGTCCAATATTCTCTGAAGTATAAATGTGTAGACATATTGTCTCACAAACAATGATTATAGCTGACCGAAGAACCACTCAAGACACCTCTTCTGTCATCTGGTTTGTTTAGACGTTATCACGGCCTGCAGAAGTGCTTAATAAATTACTTTAAAAATACTTTTTAAGCTATTGCTTACAAATTGGTTCTCTGAGATTAATCTGCTGCAGGTATGGCTGATCATAAGATAGCAGTGTCTAGGCCTATACAGACTTCAAGCTGGATTCCAGATCTACTGCTGGAAAAATCATGTTTGCACAACTCTACCATGATTTTGAGCATGCAAATGGTGATAGTTTGCAAGTTGCTGGTGAGATAGCTCAGTGGCTTTTTAGCTCCAGTCAGAACTGCATATGTAATATTCCGAAAGATGTCCTATAGAATCAATGAGATAACTGCCCTTAGGTTGGGTAATACTTGGTTAATATTATATTTCATAAAAATACAAAGTATAGATGCAAAACCTACGGAATTTGAGTAATATTGTTCAGATCTAATCTTTTTCATGATTTTTAGTAGGTCTGTACTAAATTTTTAATATTTCACAAACCTCTATTTTAAAAATATATTACGGTATTTAAAAAACAACAACAACAACCCATATACACGTTTCTTGCATCAGGTTTTATTTTTTTATTTATTTTAATCAAACATTCAGCAGGTGATAAGTGAAAAATATATTAAATAAATATTTTTCTTTTTAAAAACAACAACAAAAAAACATGTTTCTCTGGTTAGTAAACAGACCCTTGGAAAAACAGTATTCAGTCTGTGCTTCAGTGTATAAAGAGGAAAAGGACGGATTGTAGGTGGCGGTTGTCAACACATTCCTAAGGCTGGAGTGAATGGCCACTATTATGAGATGTCTGGCCAAAAAAATATGAGTGCGTAGTTCAATTTGCATAGTTTAGTAGCAGTTTCCTCTTTGGGTATGAGATCTGAAATATGTATTAATCAGTCCTCTCTGGCACACAGAGCGTTAATGTATCTGGCGCATGTCAGAAATGTGTCAGAATAAAATTATATGGGAGACCACCCATAATTACTGGCTTTCAAACTTTCCAGATTGGAGGCAATTTAGCTAGACTGCCGCACAAAAATGTTGCACTGAATATATGTTTATACGTGAGACCGTCCATCATTCACTGTAACGAGGGCTGCGTTATGTGGACAGACAAACTGACAAGAGGTATATTCTCTAAAGTGTGAATTGTGAGGAATTGAAACTGACGTCAAAGTGAATTTTGCATTTCAGGACTACATAGCCAAACTGGCAAAATTCAGTCCGAAGTTTTCAATTCGGCTATTTGGCCTTCACAAGTTAAACTCACTTTGAATTCTCGAGAATTGACACTTTAGTAAATAATCCCAAAAGAACTTGATATCAGAAGGCTTATATCTGATAAGAAATATTAAAATTACGTCACCATTTTCAGACATTGCTTATAGAAACCTTTTTTTATGAGATGCTCTGTTATCTTTTAATGTTAAATGTTGCAATTGACATCACAATCACGTCCATTCCTGGCACAACCAGGGCACATATTACAGAAACAGTATTATGGCTTTACCTCCTCTCCTTACTATACCATACTCACATGAACACTAATGGATGCACAGACAGATAAACACACATAAACATACTGATACGCACTGCCAGATACAGACACACAAAGACCATGACTGACAGACAAACAGTCTCAGATACACACACAATGCCACATTACACAGATACACAAACAAGTATACTCACACTGCAAGACAAATACACTCAGAAATAAATATTTTAAGACACCCTCCCGGCTTCCCTGGGGTCTAGAAGGGAATCCGGCTGCAGACTTTGAAGTCTCCAGTGTGGCTTCTTCACACAGTGGGAGAAAGTTATATATTATAATTTCCTTCCAGCACTACTGCGCAGGAGGAGATAGGGGGTAGTCAACACCCCTCGGTAAAAAGCCCACACAGGAGTTAAGCAATGCGGTCTGGTTAAGGGAGATAGCTATATCTCCTCAACTGGACCACATATCACTACAGTGACCTGTGCTGGTCCATGGGTCAGACCACCCCCTTTCCTGGGTACTGGCGACCTTGTTTTCATTTGGCAAAAAACAAGCCTTTAATGGCTCTCAGATAGACAGCTTCTATAGGTGCTTTCTCCAAGTCCTTCACTTTACACATTTTAGACCAGAATAGCCCACAGCTGGTTTGGAGAATTTTCCAATCAAGTCCTATTGGTTTAGAATTTGAAATTCACTCTGAATTCCATACTGGAATGAGAGCTCAGTGAGAGGCTTGTGGTTGCAAGCTATCGGCATGCTTTACATTATTAAATCATGCTTTTAAAACAGATAAATTAATTGAAATCCATTTTTTGATTCCTGTCTATTATTGTCATTGTGTCCTTGCCCATTTTCCATCATGGACTGGGTCTGTGTGCTTTAATAGTGATTTTAGGGAAACTCAGATGGCTAAGTGCTCTAACAGCGCTTTTATGAAGAAAAAAGAGTTTAGAAAGCCTGGGCTGTGAAGCATGTGATCTGGATTTGCTCGGCTGATTCTTGAAATGATGGTTTTACTGCCTCTAAGGGTAGATTAAGAACAAATGATAGTAATACCTCACTCCCAATAAAGGAAAATAAAAACACTCTCTATAACTGTATTATATTTCTAAATACTATCACAGTTATTATATAGAACCATTAACAACCTCTGGGTGTTGGGCTAAGGTAACATTGCCAGAATGTATTTGAAAACCAGAGTAATCTGAATGTACCTTTCCTGGTTAAATACTTTGTTATTATTATTAATTTTCATAACTTGATTATTCAATAAATTCAGAATGGGAGGGAAGGGAATGGTCTGTCCCCTTACCTTAAATGGTTAATGGTGGAGTCCTTTGAAATTAATTTAACAGATAATATATAGTCCTTTTTATTCAGAGTACTTTCAGATTAGTATGAAATAGGTACTATAAGTAATATAATCACTAGTGTAATGGTTATATAGCTAAGAGTCTCCGGGCACCATCCTCCAGTTCTTTGATAGCCAATCACTGACACCCAGGCTAGACAATATTATTATTATTATCATCATTTATATAGCGCTCACATATTCCGCAGCGCATCACAATTATAAAATGGGGATATCTGAGAACAAGTCATTTACATAAAGAATATAACAGAGACAAAGGTGGAGAAGGCCCTGCTCAGATGAGGTTATAACATACGACGACGGTGTGACGAACGCCCCCTTGCCTGGACATTCACCACAAGCTCCTGGAGGAGTGTGGAGGCTAGCCTCCTGCCCACTGACTATGGGCCATAGAAAAAGCAGGTATGCCGTCCCATGGAACTGGGGGGAGCTATGTGACAAAACCCCTATTTTGCCTTCCAAGGAACTGTTCTCTTCCTCAATTCGGGAAGCAGTTTAAACTTTGTTTTTAAGCTACCAAAGTTGACCGACCACTAGCCCTGATTTCACGGAACTGTTTTGGGCATTGGTCAAATAATTAACTTCATTGGAAATCTGAGTGATTTTTGGTCCTTAAGGGGTTAAAGCAACTTTCCTTGAACCATGTAATGCCCGCTGAGTCTATGGGTAACAAAACCGCTAGACTGAGCTGTAGTAATTAGACTGCACAGAGTACCCCTTTAAATTATAGCCTGCCGTCTCAGCTTGGATTCCCCATCCGATGTCCCCAGTAAACACGTTTGAAAATCCCACACATCCCAAGATAGTTCCAATCTGGGTAGATTGGAACTATTTTGGGATGTGTGGGATTTTCATGTGTTTTGAAGGTACTTTTGGGGTGTTTGTAAATTGCATGGTTTTCTGTGCCTGGAGATAATTGAGTTTGTACAGTTCCTGACTCAATTATCTCCCAGGCACAGGGGAGGGATTACCCTGTTTTGTGTGGGAGTGTCATGGTTGTGTGTTCTGTGTCCTTGTACTGCATAAAAGCTGGCCATTGAGCCTGGATTAATTAGATCATCTTACCCCTTCATAAAGTCTAGGCTCATGTTTGGGGGATTGGGAGCTATAATCACTATGGCGCTTGGGACTTGGGAGATTCTTCACAGATGTACTCAGTCAGAGTATACTGGGATCCGTTACAGAAGGGATAAAGACACACAGGAGAAATCCCAGCATCTCAGAGGGTTGGAGGGATTGAGATGAATAAAATGCCTATGTTGAAATAAGCCGGTAAAAATGGTATGTTAAAGAACCGAACAATGTCAGGAGAGAGAGAGAGTGACCTGGGATATGGAGGCATGGCGAGGGAAGTGGTGAGGGCAAAATGAGAGAAACATGGCTCTGGGTTCTGGGAGAGTCATGTTTTCTGTTTTTTTTTAACCCCTTAAGGACACATGACATGTGTGACATGTCATGATTCCCTTTTATTCCAGAAGTTTGGTCCTTAAGAGGTTAAAGCAACTTTCCTTGAACCATGTAATGCCCGCGGAGTCTATGGGCTAGACTGAGCTGTAGTAATTAGACTGCATAGAGTACCCCTTTAAATTATAGCCTGCCGTCTCAGCTCCCCATCCGATGTCCCCAGTAAACACGTGTTTGCACAGTGCAGAGAGCACTAGGACCAAGCACAGCAGTGCTGAAGTAACATCCCTGGCACACTGAGGTCATGAATCTGGGAGTATCATCCGTAAGATATAGGTTATACCCTAACAAAAGGTATGGTAGGAAGGGAACATGAGGTAACAGAACTATAGATAACAATAAACAGGCTAAACTACGCGAAGTCTAGGCCAGGTCAAGTCATGAATATAATCAGGACCCAGGCACAAGCGAGAATGTAAGCTCATTGAGCAGTGTGTCCAGTTGTCTGTTTACAATTACATGTCTGTTAGTCTACCCATTGTACAGCGCTACGGAATCTGATGGCGCTACATAAATAATAAAATAATAATGCCAGAACATTCAGAAAGGGTCTTGATCCTAAAGAGATACGGGTTTAAATTGGATCAGGCACTGACATCATTATCTTGTTAGAAATGTGGACTTGAGTCAATTTTGACACCACAATAACTCTGTGTGAAACTATATAAAAGATACCAAAGTTGCCATTCTAGGCTCGAACTGTTTTAGAATGACGCACGTTATTACGAGATGCGACAAAGTTGTGCCCAAAATGAAGCAAGTGCAGTGAAGGTGATGCTAATGCCCCAACCTTCGGCCCCTAAAAGCTGCATATGTCATCTGTCATATATTCCTGTCTGTAATATAGGAATATATAGCTGATCTCAACCCCACCAATCTCTATATTGAAATAAAGTGATACTGAAGTCACCATAGAATTACTTAGCATTTATAACTGCACTTACCAATACACAAGGAAAAGAGACAAACCGTGCCAGTGGCTTTAATTTAACAAAGTGCTTCAATGCTTTTATGTTGCACTTTAATTTATACAAAGAACTTTGCAAGACATACCACACATTTAAAATCTAAAGTATATTTCTTCCACCGCAATATCCTTACCATATTGAGTATCAGACGACAAACACTGCTACTGCAAGTATTTCTGAAAGGAAGGAAAATATAAACTCATTTTTAGATCCGCGCTTACACAACAGCAATTATTAGTTGCTACCGTAGGTTCATTAAGTTGAGAATTAATGAGAATTGACCAGGGATCTGGAATTGTTATTCCACAAATGAAATATTCAGCAAATTGGGTACATTTCCTAAATCTGCTCTTTTTCAACTAGAGTGTTTTAGCCAAATTTGACAACTTTTCAGTCTTTTTATCTGTGGATCAAAACTCATAGTTTAGTGAATAACTCCCATATAATATTTGTGCATAAGAAATAGGTTTTTGGTAGCGTGTTGCAATATATATTTTTGGGGTGGGGATCAGATCAATATTCCGAGTTACATTTTAAAACACTGTGTGCATAGCCAAAAAAGAAAAACTACTGTTGACGGTGATGCATAAACATCTGTCATTTTGTGGTTAGTTAACTGTTTATATTAAGCTGCAATCCAATTTAATTTGGCATAACCTCGCTTATGACTTGCAAAGCAATTACATGCATTCGTATTAGGATTTTATTTACATTACGCTCAGTTTTCCCCAGGAGAACTGACCATGGAGGGGGCCCTTTCTATTTTTTTTTTCCTAGTAAGTCAGCTTTGGTCAATATCCTAGAGACAGAGAGGGGCCCTGGAATGTTGGATGGGGATGGGGTGTGGGGCAAAGCAAACTTGAAACAGCCCATTCCACCCTCATTGGCCAATCAGAGCCACCCACAGGGTAAGGTTACATTCCGATATGGAAGGCTGGACAGCAGATCCCAGCATAGTCCTACAGAAGGCCTCTTGGATTAAGCAGGGAAGGGTAATAAAATGAGACCAGAATCCCTTCACCTGACTGTACTGCAAGGTCACCACAATGTTACATGTTAATAGTGTACAGTGCCAACCTATGCATCATGGCCACACTGGGCCACACATTGTATTATTGTTGGACTGCAATTCCCACCATCCGCAGCATGAGACTGGTTGCTGAGCTCACCAGCAGCTAACAAGATTAAACTTTTAAGTCTGTACAAATAAGCTTTCCCCTACCAGTCCTATCAGCCACAACCAGACGCTGGTTGCTGGGAATTTTAGTTCACCACTGCTAACTGGTTTTAAGTGTGTTTGAATTATGCTTTACAACGGGGAAGTCTAGCAAAACAAATCATCATTTTTGGTTGAATTTAAACTGCTATTATGTTTTGCCACCCATAAGCTTGAAGGAGCATACTGGGGAGTTTTTGAGAGTGTCTGTCTTTCAGGTCTCTAATGCTGTACAGGGAATGAATATAACTGAACATTTATTTGGAATTTAAATTTGCTCTTCCTTTGTGTGAATGGTTAGTCATACTATAATATATATTTCCAAGACATCAACCAATGTGAATTTTTATTTTTATTTAAAAGAAAAGATTGCATGTTACATATTATAGCACTGGTTTGAATAATTTTGTAAGGCACACATATAAGTACAGCGCTGCGGAATATGTTGGCGCTTTATAAAAGCCAGTAATTGCTTAATTTCAGTGCTCACACTTGGTTTGTGGTTGCGGCCATCTTTAGGTACTACAGTTCATCCAGCCCACAGACTATGCAGGTACTCAGGAGCGAGTGTACGCTCACATATCCTGAAATCACAGCCAAGTGCCAGGTATCTGAAAATGTTTCAGACTTTCAAATTGAGCGTGATCTTAACAGGTAATTGGTGCTTCAATCTGGCCATGGAGGACCAAAGATGGCTGCCCTCACAGCCTATCGGTGACGCTGGAGAGTCACTGAAAACTTAATATCAATGTATTAATTACAACATAGTAAATAACATGACTATATTTCATGACATCCCATAATTTTAATAATATTGAAACATTTTGAAAATTTCCCTTTAACCTTAGTAAGCAAAACAAAACGAATGATTTAACCCTTGTGTGCCAAGGTAGTTGCTTATGCATTATTCAAGCAAACCAGGTCTCAGATTGAGGAAGGTGGTGGGAGTAGCTGTTATTGGCACTGTGGTGGGAATGGCATACCTCCCAACATTTCAAATGGACAAAGGCGGACACTTTCACTTTAAGGGTGTGACCGAGAAATTTTAGGTGACTCATTAATGATAACTTTTACAAGAAAATGTAACTTTAGTACAAGATCAATGTATCTCATTTACACAGATTGATTTCCAAACACATTTATTGTAGTTTAAAGACACATTACTGTTAGTATTACTGCTGCAGAGCTCTGTTATACACTCAGACACATTACAATTAGTATTATTGCTGCGGAGCACTGTTATACACTCAGATACATTACTGGGAGTATTATTGTTGTGGAGCTCTGTTATACAGTCAGACACATTACTGGGAGTATTATTGCTGTGGAGCTCAGTTATACACACAGACACATTACAATTAGTATTATTGCTGCGGAGCTCTGTTATACACTCAGAAACATTACTGGGAGTATTATTGCTGTGGAGCTCTGTTATACACTCAGACACATTACTGGGAGTATTATTGCTGTGGAGCTCCGTTATACAATCAGACACATTACTGGGATTATTATTGCTGTGGGGCTCTGTTATACACTCAGACACATTACTGGGAGTATTATTACTGTGGAGCTCTGTTATACACTCAGACACATTACTGGGAGTATTATTGCTGTGAGCTCTGTTATACACTCAGACACATTACTGGGAGTATTATTGCTGTGAGCTCTGTTATACACTCAGACACATTACTGGGAGTATTATTGCTGTGGAGCTCTGCTATACACTCAGACACATTACTGGGAGTATTATTGCTGTGGAGCTCTGTTATACACTCAGACACATTACTGGGAGTATTATTGCTGTGGAGCTCTGTTATACACTCAGACACATTACTATTAGTATTATTGCTGCGGAGCTCTGTTATACACTCAGACACACCAACAATATGGAGCTCCTAGAAAAGAGGGAGATTTGGCCCCAAAATAGGGACTTTTCCTCCTAAATAGGGACAACTGTCAAAGAGGTGGTAACTGCCAGATTGCAACAGGGAGGAGCAGCCGTTATTTGCAGCAGATTAGGAGTAGCTAGTCCAGGTATTGGGCGGAAGTAGTTATTACTGGCACCAGTGGGAAGAGAGAATTTAGGATTGGCAATGGTGGGAATAGCTATACAGGGTGCAGGGCAGTAGCTCTTATTGGCAAAGGGAAAGGATGAACTATTATTAGAAGTGACATGGGAGTAGCCATTATTGGCAGCAAGGTGGCACTAGCTATTATCGGCAAGAGGGTGATAGTCGCTTTTACTGGAAGCTTGATGGGAATAACTATTATTGGCAACGGATGGGATTAACCATTATTGGCAGCGGGATGGGAATAACTAGTATTTGAAGTGGATGGGAAAAACTATTATTGTCTCAGATAGGAGCAGCCATTTTGGAAGCAAAAGGACTGGCAGGAGGTTGGATTGGCCAGGACTGGCAGGAGGTGGGAGTAGCCAGGACTGGCAGGAGGTGGGAGTGGCCAGGACTGGCAGGAGGTGGGAGTGGCCTGGACTGGCAGGAGGTGGGAGTGGCCCGGACTGGCAGGAGGTTGGAGTAGCCCGGACTGGCAGGAGGTAAGAGTAGCCAGGACTGGCGGAAGAGGTGGGAGGTGGCCAGGACTGGCAGGAGGGGTGGGAGGTTGGTGGCCAGGACTGGCAGGAGGTGGGAGTAGTAGCCAGGACTGGCAGGAGGTGGGTGGCCAGACTGGAGGTGGGAGTGGCCAGGACTGGCAGGAGGTGGGAGTGGCCGGACTGGCAGGAGGTGGGAGTAGCCAGGACTGGCAGGGAGGGAGGCCAGGACTGGCAGGAGGTAAGAGTAGCCAGACTGGTAGGAGGGAGTGGCCCAGGACTGTGGAGGAGGTAAGAGTAGCCAGACTGCAAGAGGTGGGCGGCCAGGACTGGCAGGAGGTGGGAGTGGCGGACTGGCAGGAGGTGGGAGTGAGGACTGGCAGGAGGTTGAGTAGCCCGACTGGCAGGAGGTAAGAGTAGCCAGGACTGGCAAGAGGTGGGAGTGGCCAGGACTGGCAGGAGGTGGGAGTGGCCAGGACTGGCAGGAGGTGGGAGTAGTCAGGACTGGCAGGAGGTGGGAGTGGCCAGGACTGGCAGGAGGTAAGAGTAGCCAGGACTGGTAGGAGGTGGGAGTGGCCAGGACTGGCAGGAGGTTGGATTGGCCAGGACTGGCGGGAGGTAAGTGTAGTCAGGACTGGCAGGAGGTGGGAGTAGCCAGGACTGGCAGGAGGTGGGAGTAGCCAGGACTGGCAGGAGGGTGGATTGGCCAAGACTGCCAGGAGGTGGGAGTAGCCCGGACTGGCAGGAGGTGGGAGTAGCCCGGACTGGCAGGAGGTGTGAGTAGCCAGGACTGGCAGGAGGTGGGAGTAGTCAGGACTGGCAGGAGGTGGGAGTAGCCAGGACTGGCAGGAGGCGACCTCACTGGATGCTGTGTGTTGCCTGCAGCTCCTGGCCCACCCTTCCCTGACCCAAAAAGCCTCAGGATTTTTTTTATTTAAGCAGCCCCTGTCCCCCCACCACAGCCCCTGTGCCCCCCTCTCAAGCTCCTGTCCCCTGTCTCAGCCCCTGTGCATCTCAATAGCACCTGTGCACTCACCACAGCCCGTGTGCTCCCCTCTACAGCTCCTTGTCCCCCCATTACAGCTCCTGCCCCCCCCATTTACAGCTCCTACCCCCCAATTTACAGCTCCTGTGCTGCTCTCCAAGCGCCTGTACACCCCTCTACAGCTTCTGTTCCCTCTCTGTTGCTATCCCCTACCTCATTTGCTGTCCCCCCTCAGCTGCATGCAGTTATCCCCTTTCTCAGCCGCTGTCCCTCCATTTCTCAGTCATTGTCCCCCCCCCACAGTTGCTGTGCCACCCTCCTCTCTGCCCCTATCCCCTTACTACAGTCACATATCATCCCCAGTACAGCCCCTCTCCCCTATTTGCAGCCCATATCACCCACACCACAGCCCCTTTCCCACATTGTAGCCATCAACCTATTTCAGTCCCTATCCCCCCACTACATTTCCTAACCCCCTCATTACAGCCCGTACCCTCTACTACAGCCTCTAACCCTCAACTACAGCCCTTGGTATATCGGTAGCAGGGTGGCAGTATTTGATATCGATAGCAGGTTGGCAGTGTTTGATATGGGTAGCAGGGTGGCAGTGTTTGATATCGGTAGCAGGGTGGCAGTATTTGATATTGGTAGCAGGGTGCCAGTGTTTGATATGGTTAGCAGGGTTGCAGAGTTTGATATGGGTAGCAGGGTGGCAGTATTTGATATCGTAGCAGGGTGGCAGAGTTTATCGGTAGCAAGGTGGCAGTGTTTGATATCGGTAGCAGGGTGGCAGTATTTGATATCACTAGCAGGGTGGCAGTGTTTGATATCGGTAGCAGGGTGGCAGTGTTTGATATCGGTAGCAGGGTGGCAGTGTTTGATGTTGGTAGCAGGGTGGCAGTATTTGATATCGGTAGCAGGGTGGCAGTGTTTGATATCGGTAGCAGGGTGACAGGGTGGCAGTATTTGATATCGGTAGCAGGGTGGCAGTGTTTGATATCGGTATGTTGGTAGCAGGGTGGCAGTATTTCGGGATATCGGCAGGGTGGCAAAGTGTTTGGATATCGGCAGCAGGGTGACAGGGTGGCAGTATTTGATATGGGTAGCAGGGTGGCAGTGTTTGATATCGGTAGCAGGGTGGCAGTATTTGATATCGGTAGCAGGGTGACAGTGTTTGATATCGGTAGCAGGGTGGCAGTGTTTGATATCGGTAACAGGGTGACAGTGTTTGATGTTGGTAGCAGGGTGTCAGTATTTGATATTGGTAGCAGGGTGACAGGGTGGCAGTGTTTGATATCGGTAGCAGGGTGACAGGGTGGCAGTGTTTGATATCGGTAGCAGGGTGACAGGGTGGCAGTATTTGATATCGGTAGGAGGGTGGCAGTGTTTGATATCTGTAGCAGGGTGACAGGGTGGCAGTGTTTGATGTCGGTAGCAGGATGACAGGGTGGCAGTATTTGATATCGGTAGCAGGGTGGCAGTGTTTGATATCGGTAGCAGGGTGACAGGGTGACAGTATTTGATATCGGTAGCAGGGTGGCAGTGTTTGATATCGGTAGCAGGGTGACAGGGTGGCAGTATTTGATATCGGTAGGAGGTGGCAGTGTTTGATATCTGTAGCAGGGTGACAGGGTGGCAGTGTTTGATGTCGGTAGAAGGGTGACAGGGTGGCAGTATTTGATATCGGTAGCAGGGTGGCAGTGTTTGATATCGGTAGCAGGGTGACAGGGTGGCAGTGTTTGATGTCGGTAGCAGGGTGACAGGGTGGCAGTATTTGATATATCGGTAGAGGTGGCAGTGTTTGATATCTGTAGCAGGGTGACAGGGTGGCAGTGTTTGATGTCGCAGTAGGCGACAGGGCAAGGTATTTGATATCGGGTAGGAGGGTGGCAGTGTTTGATATCTGTAGCAGGTGACAGGGGTGGCAGTGTTTGATGTCGGGTAGCAGGTGGGATGACAGGGTGGCAGTATTTGATCGGTAGCAGGGGTGGCAGTGTTTGATATCGGTAGCAGGTGACAGGGTGACAGTATTTGATATCGGTAGCAGGGTGGCAGTGTTTGATATCGGTAGCAGGGTGACAGGGTGGCAGTATTTGATATCGGTAGGAGGGTGGCAGTGTTTGATATCTGTAGCAGGGTGACAGGGTGGCAGTGTTTGATGTCGGTAGCAGGGTGACAGGGTGGCAGTATTTGATATCGGTAGCAGGGTGGCAGTGTTTGATATCGGTAGCAGGGTGGCAGTGTTTGATATCGGTAGCAGGGTGACAGGGTGGCAGTGTTTGATATCGGTAGCAGGGTGACAGGGTGGCAGTATTTGATATCGGTAGGAGGGTGGCAGTGTTTGATATCTGTAGCAGGGTGACAGGGTGGCAGTGTTTGATGTCGGTAGCAGGGTGACAGGGTGGCAGTATTTGATATCGGTAGCAGGGTGGCAGTGTTTGATATCGGTAGCAGGGGTGGCAGTGTTTGATATCGGTAGCAGGGTGACAGGGTGGCAGTGTTTGATATCGGTAGCAGGGTGACAGGGTGGCAGTATTTGATATCGGTAGCAGGGTGGCAGTGTTTATCGGTAGCAGGGTGGCAGTGTTTGATATCGGTAGCAGGGTGGCAGTGTTTATCGGTAGCAGGGTGGCAGTGTTTGATATCGGTAGCAGGGTGGCAGTGTTTATCGGTAGCAGGGTGGCAGTGTTTATCGGTAGCCGTATGTGTTATTTTGATTTTGGCAGTAATTGATATTGTCAGGGAGAGGAAGCACCTATAGCGGCAGGCTGTGGGGTGGAGAAGATTTTTTCAGAGGAGGAGGTAGAGTAGCTGGGGTGGAGGAGGAGCAGTTGTAGTGTAGGAGGTGGCTGTAGCTGAGAAGGCTGGGGTGGCTGCGGGGAGGAGGGGAGTAGCTGTAGTTTAGTAGGTGGAGGCTGGGATATTGGAGGAGGTGATTGCTGTTGTAGGGGAGGTGGAAGCTGAACTGTGCGTTGTAGGAAGAGGTGGTTGTGGATGAGGTAGAAGCTGGGATGGAGTAGGTGGTGTATGTGAGTTGTGGGAGGTGGTAGAAGTTGGTATGGAGAAGGTGGTGTCTGTGTTGTAGGAGATGGTTGTGGAGGAGGAGGTGGTGTCTGTGTTGTAGGAGGTGGTTGTGGAGGAGGTAGAGGTTGGGTTGTAGGAGGTGGTTGTGGAGAAGGAGGTGGTGTCTGTGTGTTGTAGGAGGTGGTTAAGGAGGAGGTGGTGTCTGTGTGTTTTAGGAGGTAGTTGTGGAGGTTGGGTTGGAGGAGGTGTCTGTGTGCTGTAGGAGGTGGTAGAGGCTGGGATGGAGTAGGAGGTGTCTGTGTTTTGTAGGAGGTGGTTGCTGTAGTTGAGGTGGTGTCTGTGTTGTAGGAGGTGGTAGAGGCTGGGATGGAGGAGGTGGTGTCTGTGTGTTGTAGGAGGTGGTTGTGGGAGGTGGTGTCTGTGTTGTAGGAGGTGTCTTTGTGAGCAGTGCAGGCCCGGTAGCCGCCCCATACTCTGAGCCTCCTCCTTCCCGCACACTGAGCCCGGACAGCTGCGGCTTCACCCAGGATCCTCTAACAATCTCTCTCTTCTCCTCTCATTCCTCATTACATTTATTTGTAGCTACTTTCCTCCATCCCTATCTCCTCCACCTATCCCTCCCGATCATTGTTTGGTACTTTTACTCATTTTCTGATTTTTATTTTTTTTATATATTTTTTTTGATCTCCTGTAAACTTTGCGCTGGTATTAAGGAAGAAGAGGAAGCGATTTGCCCCCGGAGCCGTTTTGCCCCCATTGATCCCCCCTGACGCCGCCGCTGAGCCCACCTGCCCAGCATTGCGACCTGAATGGATGGGTATGGGGAAAAGGGCCGCACTCTGCTACCCCGGGGCTGACCGCCGGTGTACCCTGGGCCCCCTGCACCTCCTCCTACTGCTGGCCCTCTGGGGGGACACAGGTAAGAACCCTCACACTCACCAAGGTTCTACTATCCCTGTTACTGTATCTGCTGAGGTTTCCAACTCTCTCCATGCTCAGCCCACACTGGGCTTTCTTTTCTCTGTGTGTTGGGAGTTGCAATCCTGAGCAGCTGAAAGGATGTGATTTACTGATCAATGCACACAGGGAATGGGTTAAGATTACATTTGACTTTAATGGGGGTTGTCATTGCCTGGATCAGTCAGGCATAGGGGAGACTAAATGTACTTTGAGGAGTAAAATAATCTGTAAATCAAGGGTGATCTGCAAATCGTCTTAAATAAACACTGATTTCTAAACAATGTTAATGTTCTTTAAAAATGTGTATTTTTAATGTGAATGTTGTCATTATATACACATACAGTACCCTCTATCACTGTAGTTTCTATAATGTGTCATTGTATTAGCAGCAGCAGATACATTGTAGTATAAGGGCTCTGCCTAGCACTGTGACTTTGCACAGTCAGTCTCCAGAGTCTGTAACTGTATGACTGCAGTGCTTAGTGGTCCTTAACTTTCCCTCCAGACTGACAACATGTCACCAATTGTGTCCAGTCCCGCACCTCATGGCTGCTGTGCAAGCTGCCTGCCTGGCCCCATTCATTATCTAAGGGTACCATGGCAGTGAGTACTGTGGGACAAGGCACTCCAAAATCTGCCTGGAGAACAGTCCCAGAGATCCAGTGTTGTTTAGTACTAGGCCTCTAAGTATATATACTTCATTACATATGTCTAGAAAATGCTGGGTTCTGTCAAAATATATAAATGTATTTCTTTTTGTGCTAAGTAGGAGAAGGGATGGTACATCGAAGAAGGCCACAGGCCAATGCAATTTCTGTATTTTATTGCAGTTTTATGGCTCTTCATTCATTTATACGTGTTGCAGCATTTTTTTAACCCAGTAGGGAAATGGGACCAAAGAAATCCATCTATTTAATGATATCCCTGGCATGATGAAGGACTGTGTCTATATATATATATATATATATATATATATTCTCACATAGTAATGTTTTTACTCCCTTAATTTGCTATATGAATGCAATTATCCAGTGATTTGGCATGTAACCCTGAATATATTCTGTAGGTGGTTGGTGAGGAATAAAAACATTGTACTTTCTATAAATGCAATAATGGACATTCTGTGACCTCTCGTTTAGCTCTGGATAAACTGTAACCCCAATCTCACTTAGCCGGTTACTCTTCAATTTGTGACAATTTAGACACTCATATCACCGAGACACAGAGCATCCTCTAGGCTTTGCAGATAAAATAGATATGTTATAATTGTATTATTGTTATTAGTAGCATTAGAGCAGCAACATATTCTGCAGCGCTTTACGATTATAAAATGGGGATATTTGACAACAAATAATTGACACAAAAAAATAACAAGACTAGGTGGAGGTGAGTACAGTCTACGAGGACAGGGTAAATACATACAAGACAAATAACAGAATGTCAGAAAGGAGGTCGAACTGATTGAAAAGAACCCTACAAAACCGCTAGTCAATAAAATGTTTCTTTTCTGCTTTTTTTTTTCCTGTTAATGGCTGGAGATTGCTTTAGCACAAATCCAAATAGTGGTAATGAGTCTGCGGATATGAGTTTGCAATGAGCGGACCTGCTGAGTGAACGGCACATCTGGATATTAGCTATATAGTGATTGCTGAGGCATATGCTGTCCAAGTGTGTCTTTTGTGTATTGGGAGGTGTATAAGTCTGTTACCATACAGGGGGCTCAGCTGGAAGAGACACTGTTAATAGGCTGTATGCTCAGGGGCAGAACAGATTTCCCAAAGCTGGGATTGCGTTTTGATTGCAGCATGATGCTCATTTAAATAAGCCATCACATGTTTATTTCAGTGCTTTTATTTATTTATTTTTTACAGTTTTCCATTTAAAAAAAAAAATATATATATATTTTTTTTATATTACACAACATTATCACAATTGACTTGGAAAAAAAAAAAAGCCATTAATTATTGTCTGTCAGTCTGGCTATATCACGGTATCTGTTTATGGAATCCATGTAGCTTAAGAATGTTTGTTTGTTTTTATTTTTATTTTTGTATCTAGGCTTTGGAGTGCCTGAAGGTTGATACCACTTTGATTTGCACTAAGATTAATACGTTTTCTAGCCTCAAACTTTATTTAACCTTTTGTTTACTCCAGTAACCAAGCAATCCTATAAAAATGCATAAACTGATTTAATTTTATTTAATTTGTCATGTTTGCATCCAAATGCTGCAATCTGTGCAGCCCAGCCATCTTAAACTCTGGCCCACCAGATGTTTCTGAACTACAGTTCCCCCAATTCTCTGCTAATCTATTGCATTTAACCTCTTAAGGACACATGACATGTCATGATTCCCTTTTATTCCAGAAGTTTAAGGGGTTAAAGAATTCTGGGTACCGTAGTACTGTAAGTCGTCAACATTTGGTGGGAGGGTAAGCATTTGAGATCTCTGGTCTAGCCAGATTGAACTGACATTAGTTTTTAGTCAGACATGTTGTGCATTTTATTATTATTTATTTATTTTTTTACTTGATATAAAATTGCTCACATGAATGAAAGCGTTAAATTGCGGCTCTTATGTATGGAGTATAATGATTCAGATGTCCCACCTTTCCCTACTTCTCCCCTTCCCCCCCCCCCTTCCTATCCTGGTGTTTGCTGAATTCAAGACTGAGATCAGATTTCCTGCAGCTACAAGGAGAGAAGAGAGCCTTGTGCTAGTTCTGCTGTTGATGGGAGTAGGAAAGAATTTAACCCCCGATAGACATTTTGTAAAGGATATAGATATGGTTTTCAGGTAAACCATTTGCTACCAAGTTGTTCTTGCTGGCAGTGAATAAATAAAGCGATTTATAATGAGTCTGAACACTCAATAATATAATACTATAACGTGTGATTTATTTTTCTTTGCTGTACAGCTCTTGTACATAAAAGGTTAATAGCACATAGTTCCATGTTAGAGCTAGACAGTCTTCTTAGTTCTAGCTCCTATGGATTGTTACTCTCAGAATTCTGCACAAGCATGATGAGAGTTGTAGTTCACCTTGTGCTTAGACTGTGCCTTTGGTAATTCACTATCGAAGACAAACAGTCTGTAGCAGTCTCTGAATGCTTAACAAGTTTGTGAATAAGATACTCCTCTGAAGGCCCATGTAATCTGTAAAACAAATCATAACAATGTATTTGTATTTTGCAAGAACTCAGTAGTTTTGTATCACAGCAGTTGTTTGAATTTGAGTTGGGGATTAAGTTTCTCCTTCCTGGCAGCAAAGGGTTAAGAGGTTAGAACTACATAGTAGAATTTCTGAGACATGCAGGGTCCACATATGTGATTTGACCTTTGTAAAACAGTTCTGATATTTGTGGCTTGTGACTAATTTGAACAGTTTGTAGGGGGCTGGTTGGCTGAGAGGTACTTTTGTTCAAGATCATTACCTTGAATAATTCCTGCAGCGATTAGCTGGGGAAAAGGTTGAAGCAGGGTAATCTAAATCTGATCAACAAAGCCCGATTATCTGTTAAATGTTTACATCTGGATCTCTATCACCCGCTTTATTAGATAATCACAGAAGCAGTGAGGGGTATTTGAGTATTTTTCCTTTTTCAAGAGCACTAGGAACAGGAGAAAAAAAAAAAATATATATATATATTTTTTTATTTTATTTTTTTTTTATATATATATAAAAATTTTAATTTTCACTTTTTTAAACATAATTATGGACTTAGTATAGAAAACAGGATTAAGGAAAATGTGATTTAAAGACTTTTTTTATTATAATTCTAGTGTGGTGTGTGTTTTTATATATAATATCATTGGTTCTTAAATAGTTAAAAGCAGACTTTGCTGTGACTTGGTTGGACATTGTCCAAGTTATACAACAATATATTGCCAAATCCTTGTGCACTTTAAACCAGGCGGTGGAATGCTTGGTAGACTTGCAGCTGTGAAACTACAAATCCCATGATGCCTTGAGGCCAGTGAAGAATCATGGGAGTTGTAGTTAAGGCTTGTGGCCGTTCCTGATTTGATTTGTTCAGTAAGTGATATGACTGACATTTAAAGTCACTCTGTCACATGAAACGAGGAGCCAATTTGAAGGAGATTTATGAATGTGCTCTATAGATTAGCAAATGTATAAATGCAAAGTTCGTACCTGAGCAATTTTTGAAGTAGATCCGCAATATATATTAAATTATTTTTATTCACCATAAAATATATTCTGTTTTTGCATGACTGGTGCACTGTTCACCATATAACCTCTTCATGCGGACTGGACCCATTTATAGCCGCATTGATTATGCCAAATTAACACTTCAATTTTATCAATGTTTGTTTTGACCAACTTGAATGGAGGTGATTGGCTGAGCGTGTTGGGTACCTCTAGTGGTCATGTTACCCTGTAAAGTGATTGATAGGGTTATTTATTAAATTCAAAGAGAATTTCAAACTTCCTTCAAGCACCACGATCAATTCACTGATTTTGAAGTGGTCGTAGTGCCTTAAGTTTGTATATTCCACTATGAAATGCTGCACATACAGACTTTAACCCCTCTGTTTCTGGTTGTATAACTGCGTTTATGACAGCATTATTAGGGCGTCATTAGCCACCCAAGAACGAACAAGAGCTAATGTGAATTCAGGGCATATTTGGCATCTGTCACCAGGACACACACCGTGTTGGAGTGCAGGTAAGTTTAAAGTTCTTTTGTTTGGTTTTATTTTCTATTTTATTTTTTGTAGTGGGGCAGGATAGAAAGGGTTACCCCCACTGAAACCGTATTTTCTTAAAAGGTCAAATAGCTGGTCTGGAAAAATTCTATGCTCCCAGTTTGGCTACTCTGGCCTTAAATGTGAAATTCACTTTGAATTCTCTCTTTAGTAAATAAACCTTTTAGATGAGTTTGGACATCAATGAGGCAGGCGTGAGTCACCATAACATCTAAATATTTAGCTTTACTAGAAATCCCCTAAAAAGGTGTCAGTGAGAGCTGAAATCTCACTCTGCTTTCAGACCTTTGGAAGTATTTCAACTCTAGTTTGAAAAATTATAAATAAATGTATCCCATACAAACGGAATTCACGCCTTACCGTCTGAGTCTCCATTGCTGTATATGGCAGTATTTGTCTGTGAAGGCTGTTGCGCAGTGTGCTTTAGTTATAGTACACAGCACTATGTCACTGCAGTTTTTTATTATATTACTTGGCAAACGTTTGTTACTTGGAGTACAGGTAAGGCAAATTATTCCTGAATAATTGTTTGTTCTTTGTATGGCTACTTTGACACAAACACACACACCTGTGTATAGGCTTATTCTCTAAACAGGGAATTATAAAAAGAGAATTGGAAAATATAGGTTAAAACCGTAAAGATGCCAATATCCTGAAAACTGGCATCTGACAGTAGTGCCCATAGGGTACATCTATACCCCTAACTGTCTCTATTTAGGAGGCACAATCCCTATTTTGGGCCCATATGCCTCTGTTGCACGTTTTATGTCCCAATGTCCCTCCATATTGTTGGTCTGTCTGAGTGTATACCAGAGATCCGTAGCAATAATGCTCACTGTAATGTATTAACGGGTTACTGCAAGAGTCTTAAGGGGAACCTTTTTTTGGAGTAATGTGCCCTATTGAGCACTAGGAAGGAGGTTCCCCTCAACACCCCCCCCCACCCCCCTCGATTTGTAGAATAACAGGTAAAAATAAAGTGTTTACTCACTTGGAATCCAGCACCAAGCGTAGCTTCTGACGCTGATTTCTGCGACAGCTCCGGCGTTACAGGGGCCTTGCACGGTCCAGTTGTTGTCTGCCAATGTCACGTGCTGGGGATGCAACTAGCCCCCAGCACACAATTAAAGGGACTCCATAGTGTTAGAAATACAAAACTGTATTCCCAACACTGTAGTGCCCTCTGGTACCCCCTGCCTTGTGGTCCCTTTGTCAGGTAGAGGGTTAGAAAAACCTTTATTACTTACTCGATTCCAGAGCTCATGTTCTTCGGTGCTGGGTTGGCACTCCGCCTCCTCCGACGATAGGGTAATAGGAGCTGTAGTGGGTGTAGGATGTATAGGGACTGTAGTGGGTATAGCGGCTGCAGGAGGTATTGGTGGTGTAGGATGTAGTGGATATAGGGGCTGTGGTGGGTGCAGGGGGATATAGGGGGCATAGTGGGTAAAAGGTAGAAGGGGCTGTAGTGGGTAGAGGGATGTAGTGGGTAGAGGGATGTAGGGGCTGTAGTGGGTAGAGGGATGTAGGGGCTGTAGTGGGTAGAGGTTAGAGGAGCTGCTGTGGGTAGATTGACTGTAGTGAGTAGAAGGTATACTATAGGTGCTGCTGGGGTAGAGGGACTGTAGTGGGTAGAAGGTAGAGGGGCTGCTGAGGGTAGAGGGACAGTAGAAGGTAGAAGGATATAGGGGCTGCTGGGGGTAGAGGGATATAGGGGCTGCTGGGGGTAGAGGGATATAGGGGATGCTGGGTGTACAGGGATATAGGGGCTGCTGGGTGTAGAGGGATATAGGGGCTGCTGGAGGTAGAGGGATATAGGGGCTGCTGGAGGTAGGGGGATATAGGGGCTGCTGGGGGTAGGGGGATACAGGGGCTGTAGAAAGTAGAGGGACTGTAGTGGGTAGAGGGGCTGAGCCTTACCTTTAGCCAGAGAGGAGGAAGCATGCTATCTCTCCCTGAAGTGCTGCCTGTAACAGTGATAAATCGGGCAGCTCCACATGGCTCCCTTAACTTTTGACACATGATGTCACTTCCTATGTGAGGAGCCACACAGAGCACCTTGATTGATCTCTGTTACAGACACTTCTCCTTGTGTCTTTATCTTTCAGGCACACTGAGAGGCGGCCTAGTGCGTCTTTGGGAGGCTTAATAGCTGTTTCTCAGTTTGCCATGATGGGGCTGTGTGGCAGAACAAAGGGAGAGGGGCTTTTTTTTTTTTTTTTGGCAATGACTGACTGCAGACTGGCTGGGGAGATTGTTGGACTCCCCAGCCAGCTGTTCCTTTCCTGCACAGCGGGCAGGCACCCGAGAGCCTCGGGCCCGAGTGCTCAGTCCGCCCCTGGACAGGAGGGCCTAAAGTGCATGCGTGCCGAGCTCTGCAACTGAATTAGGCCCTCCCCATAGCAAAGTATTAAATTAATGCTTTCCTATGGGGATTTTAATTATGCTGGATGTCCTCATGCAGAGGGTGAGGATGTTCAGCATCATTTAGGATACCCAGAGTATGCTAGAGTCCCAAAAGTGCCTATATTGACTGTTTGACAGCCACTAAAGGCAGTCTTAGTCCTGCAAGGTAATTATTCAAGTTTCTCAAAAACTTACATTGCAGGACTAAATGGGACACCGCACACAGACCACTTTAATAAGATGAAGTGGTCTGGGTGCCTATAGTGTCCCTTTAACAGAAGCTCAGTTTCTGCAGTGTTTTCATGCAGAAATACTGACTCCTACCACCGTGACCACTTCAAATCACTCTGTGTAAATAAGATACATTGTTCTTGTTCTGAATTACATTTTAGTACCATAAAGTGTTATTGGTAAGTCATCTAAAATCTTTCAGCAGAGCTATGTCTTAAAATGTTGGGAGGTGTGCATTCCAACTGTTGCAGAACTGAAATTGTTGTGATGCTCTGACAGTCACTCCTGGCATATGGAGTTTAAAAGGATACTCTAAGCACCAAAACAACTTTAGCTTAATGAAGCAGTTTTGGTGTGTAGATTATGCCACAACAGTCGCATTACTCAATTATCTTTCATTTAGAAGTTAAGTCAGTTTTGTTTGTTTTTATACAGTCATAGCCACACCTACCCTGGCTGTGACGCATGGTTTCATTTTCAGATCTGACAGCACAATTTGTTCATTGTAGAAGTTTTCATCTTCTGCTCTGTTTAATCACAAACAGGAGGCCCTTTTTCGATCACTTTAAGAAATCTGAATTTGTTTTTTTTAAATGTGTAATTTTTAGCTGTCAATTTTCAGAACTTTTTGATTAATGTTTTCCCATATCTTTGCTTAGATTCACTATATTATTTCTGCTTTTTAGAACAGTTATAGAGAAAACACTAGATAAATACAATGTATATTAAATCAGGGATGCAGTTTGATAGGTTGAAAACCGAAATAGCCAATCAGAATCCAAGAAATCATAAACTAATGGAAGATTAGGTCTCTTTAATGTAGAGACTGGGGAGAAGAACCTTCAGGCACAGTCAATTGCTAACCCCCTTTTACTCTTTATGTCAAAATAACAATGGATATTAATCTGCACTTTTCAGAAAACTTTAATGCATACATATCACGCATTCATTTCAAGCCGTGCTCCTCTGTTGGTGGAGAAAGGCAGAGGATGTCCGGAGATGCCGTGTTTTGTCCCAGGTATTGGTAAGGTTTGGGCCATCTTTGTGTAAGGCAGTTGTAGATCTGCATATTATCTCAAACAGTCCTGTACTAAGCTATCTCTCAGTGTACCCTGCAGGATCGCCAAAGCTCTCTCTGCAGTTGAGGAATTCACAGACGGCCAGTTCTTGCAAACTATGGTGGTTGGTCAGTGGCTAACCTAACTGAGATGCAAGCAGTTCTAGGAATTGTCTTTGTTGCTACAGTCACCCAGCTTCCTGATTCCATTTAACGATAGATCTCCTTTAAAATGTAAGAATTTAGATGGGTGTTTGCAAGGACATATGAGTTAGTTTATCTATTACTGGTATTTGCTGGGACTTCTTCAACATTACCTAAAATATATTAATTAACTTTTATTGTGGAACGATTCTAATGTGGTTTAAAAGCTTCACAAGCTCACAAGAGAAGATGGAAAGAAAAATAAATCTCAATAATGATTGCAAAAAGGAAAAAAATAATATAATTAATGGTGAACGTACATCCATCTAAAAGCTCCTTGTGTTGGGTAATGTGTGGTGTTTATTTCACATTTATCCTTCCTGTCACTCAGAAAATGCCAAGAAGAGAGAGAGGTAGAACATAATCTCTTCTCTGGTGGCAGAGATTGCTGTAGGAATGTGAATTTAAAACCTCATAGTGTTTTGACAGCCCAGATTCCATTAGAGGGCCTATTCTTTTTCTTTTTAGTGCAATGGTAAGAATTCATCAGCCTTTTGTTCACTAAAAAGTGATTGACATCTTACTTACAGTATCTTCAATTTAGAAGCAAAAAAAGAAAAATCCTACTGTTAAGTACTTTGCTGATGGACATTTAAAAAAAAATAAAAAATAAATAAATATATATATATATATATATATATATATATATATATATATTTATATATATATTATTGTCTAAATTGTCTTGTCAATTCAGATTTCCCAAGCAACACTAGCACAGAATGATGTTTTTGACCCCAAATTATTCTACAATTTTCTTTTTGTAACCCTCCACAAAATCTTAATATGGAACAACACTTGCTGCATAGTGATTTCTGCACACTGGGAATTTGGTGATATAATTCATACATCTGTTCATAAGCCATATAAATAACTTGGCCATTTACAGCATGTGATAATTTAATTGAAGGTGCCATGCTGTGTTCTGCTAGAAAAACAAGATGGCTGCTACCCAACACAGTTCTCAAGTTAGTCCTGTGTCAGACATCGGGACGCGGTGTGGAGGCAAGCAAGCAATTTACCCAAATTTTTCAGGAGTGGTGCACCTAATGACTAATGTTCTACTGGACATTTTAAATAAAAAGGAACAGTTTTTTTAACCTGTAAACTGACAAGAGTTACCTTTTAATTTTTAGTTTTCAGACCTCACAAAAACATAGTAGCCAAATATAGAGTATCATTATTATATTATTAAAAATACTGGACAGTGACTGTTCCCAAACGTGAATTTCTGATACGCCTTATTAAACAGTTATTTAAAAAAACAAATGATGATATTTTAAATTTAAACCCAAAGTTGGGATTTTAAGCCCTGACTTTGGGTTCAATTTATGGACAAATTTTAATAAAAGGTTTTCCCATCACACACTTTTTTTTATTTATTTTTTTCTGTGTATTTTTTTTATTAACAATGAGATATAACCCTCTTTTATTGCACAGCATGAAGGCCATCTTGTTTAAAACTCGATGGCGTATGTAGACCTGTGTGTTTTCTGATCCCAACGCTAGGCTAGGCGATAGTCTTCTTTTAACCATACGTTACCTGTACTTCCTTAATGGAAATCAAATGGGGTGTAGGCTGCTTACTCACACATTTCATGGCCATTCTTGGCTTGATCCCCAAAATTGTTTGCTTTCTGCATTTGTTTGGCATTCTGACAGCCCCCCGCCCACCCCCTCCTCCACCTTTTAGGAGTACTTGCTATGTAAAGTATGCAATGTCATTATACATTTATGAAAATTGGATATTCTGGTTGAACGCTGTACAGGATGTTCAGAGGGCAATCAGATGAGGCTTGAAAATGATGAGTCACCTGGATCATATATCTCAATACAGAAGGCTCTTCTCTGTGTTCTATGGACCTCGTAGTTGTTGGTTCCATGGCGTGGGAATTTTTCTGTGCTTGCTCCGACTTCTAATGGTCAGCCAGCTTCTTGACCTAATTCTTTTTGGATTCCACACACATGTATGCATACATGCCACATCCTTGTGATAACTTTATAACTTAGGCCTATCCAAGACAGTGACCTATTAGCCAAGATGCAGTGAGATAAATCCTTGCAGTGGTTGTGGTGCCTGGAGTACCCTGGAGCTCTCTAACCTTGTAGTGTTATACTGTTTTCGATTGGCTTTGACCCTGAATCCCATTCTCCAGTCTGCTGCCTTTCTTTCTTGGCACAGGCTAATACATGAGATGGCAGTCATAGACAGTGTCTGTTGACACTCAAGGTCCGTCACTAACCATCGATCGTGAGTAAAGGTACCTATATTCTTAACCTTAACTCGTGATGTGCTGCCAATGATAAGCTGAGTGTGTCCGCTGATGTGTTAGGCCTATCACTTTCTGGCGCATTTGAAAACACCAAATAGTGTAACTATGCCAGAGGAGTCCAGACATACCTTTGCACAATATCAAATACAAAAATAAATCAATAAAATATAAAAATCTGTCAACTTTAAATGGAGGGTTAAATTGGCACGTAGATACATTTCTTTAAATTTTAGATGTAGATGCTTAGATTAGTTAGTCGTGCTGGGTGAGTTTTTAAATTTAAACTTCTTTATTTTTTTTTGTTTTGTTTTTTCCGCATAGAAATCTGTTTTGCACACTGTGCTCGTTCATTCCATCTCTATGCCCCAATCTATGGTGTTCCCTTTTCATCTCATTAAGTAGGTTGTGCATGATCAAATGGAATTACGTGACTTAAAGCTAAATATGAATTCTACAGATTCAACATTACAGTTAAATAGATCTACTATTTGCCTCTGTTAATATATACTATATGCCTTAAGAAGGGTCTAGACACGTAACCCCACCTTATGCCTTAATTCTCCTATTTAACATATTCCCATGGGGGATTTACGGGAAGGGAATAGTTCTGACCTCCAGTGCATGGAGTGCGCATAGTTGTATACCTCTCGTATAAATTGCATATCATATAATTTATATGCAGTCACTTGTGATTTAAAATAGAGCTTGTTTATTCTTTTCATCGCAGTTCTTGCATGTCTGAAATCGACATGTTTCTGCAGGGTAATCCGATAGTAGTTCTGTGCATGCTTATTGTGTGGTGATTCTGTTTGTTTCGGTTTTCTAACCTTTTAAAAAGCTGACAGTCTGAGATCTTAGCTAGTGTGATTGCCGAATGCCGTGCTTTGCGTTCCAGGACATCTTGTCTTACTTGAAGGCATCGAAGGCCCGAAAAACAGTTTGCTCCAGGCTTTATTGAGCTAGATTATTCTGTCTGTCTTTGTGTGCAATGTAAGTAGAATTTTAATTTGCATACTCCGTAATTTGAGCTGTATTTTTTTTCTTCTGCATGGACAGAGTTTGGCATATTAACTTACCACCTGTGTTTCCTTGGCAGTCTTTCCAAAACCGTATAATGTCAGGGTGGTCAAAGTTAATGGCTACAAACCCTGGATTTAGAAGGAAATCCTTCCCTTTTTTTTTTTTTTTTTTGTTCGGTCTTCAATGATCAGTCAAGGTTTTAAGGTTGTTGTGTCTGTGTTTAAGCAAGAGCAAACCTTTTCTAGAAAAATTGTATGTCTGACATTCAAGGACTTAATAAAATGCAAGAATCTGCAAATTGGGTTAGATATAATTGTCGTTTGTTTTGTTTTTAAAGCCTCTGTACCTTTTTAGATTCTTGAAATTTAAATTTGATGCCTTTTGACATCCTGTAATCCCTTATAAATATTGGATAGTTCTATTCACAGCTGCTAAATATGAAGCTTTAGTTTTTTGGTTTTTTTTTTTCAAGATGTATCATTTTGCTGTTCTTTGTTTACTTGTATTATGCACAGTAAAGTGATTGTGTGTAGCCTTGACACGTTGATGACGAAGGCGGAAGATGTTTTGTCTTGGTTTATAGACTATGGGGTCTACAGTAGAGTGGTGTTCAAAGTCAGCATTTTTTTAGTGCGATGGGATTTTCATCCCAGCATAGAGCACATTTACGGTATAATCATTAAATAGAGCTTGCAGACAAATTTCGATGGGAACTCCAAACTCATTCAGTATAACCAAAAAAAGTTATTGTGGCGGAACCAACCTCGCCACTGGAGGAGCCTGGTTGCCCACCTCTTGCCGCTGGACTATGGCCCTGCATTAAAAACCTTTTTATTTTCCCTATGTGAGCAGTGTTACCCCAGATAGCTAAGCCATGGAGCCCATTCGTATACCGAAAGACTATGGGAAAGACTATGGCTCCATGGCGATTGAACTGTATGTATGTGATCTGAGCGCCATCCGGTAATAATGTGCTCTCAGATCGGGAGTTTGAAGCATTCCCCTGGTTCCAGTTCGGGAGATTGGTGAATTCATGTGCTTGCAGTTCGGGAGATTGGTGATTGCAGTAGCTGTCTGTGCATCTGAAAAGGGGAATATCGCCTAAACGGTTTTTAACCTCTTGTGTGCAAAGCGGTCCGTTACAGTTATTAACTAATGGCTGAATATGAAGGGAAACTACTCAACTTGGGCTCTGTAAAAAATCCACCAACTTGAACCAAGTTGACTCAGCCGAGATCCTCACACATTTCCATAAATTAATCTCAGTGGTAGGTTGTACCAAATATATTAATATAAATAAAAAAAAAAGACTAGTTCACTTAACTGCCACCAGGTCCACGAACATTTAAGGGCAAGGGAAGAGTGGAACAAAAAGATAAATCAGGGATTCCACTGGCCTCATGAAGCCCACCTCATTGCATGTTAAGGTTTATATGAAGTGGCTAAGGAGCATTCCCCATTCTCAGGAATTTGGAATATGGAGTTATAAATCCAACGTGGATTGACATGGATTTCCTAATATACATTTGGGTGTATGCTTGCTGCCTTGTACAACTCTGATTGTGTGAGCATTGTAGGATGCTTTTAATAGTACTGTGCCGGAGAGGACTGCCATAACTGCTTCTTTTTTTTCTCTTCTCTCCGGAGCTGTGGTAGAAGGGCACCTCCAGAATGTATTTACCTCCAACCGTTCACAGTTTATAAAATCAGATTACTTGACACGCATATTAAACTTTTTCATCATTCTGCTTCTTAGCCCCACCTCTTCGGTCTCGAACACCTAATCCATTTCAAAACAATTCTTGCTGGCTACAGTAACTAATACATGAAGCCTTGACTCCCTTTCTGTCATTTACAACCTGCAGTGTTTCTTAGTGAGACAGTTGTATGTGCCATCAGGAAGTACAGCAAATATTTCTATGGGTTGTTGTTTAGCTAATAGCTTTCATGAGTAGAAAGCTGATAATTAATCTACAACTTGCAGAAACTGCTCTGTCCATAAAACACTGCTGTTCTGGGATTCTGCACTCTTGGAACAGGGCTCAAATTTTAAGTCTAGTGCCATTTGCTGGTGTAAAAGTTACTTGCCACTGCAAACCTCACAAATCTATTTTGTTTTTTAAAATATTTGTTGAATAGTTTTTTTCAAAAAAAGGAAAACTGTGATATGGCGGCAAAGGTTTAGAATGTCAGAAAAATTACAAATTACTGATCTCTGTTACAATGATTGTCTGGTGGGCACCCACCTCCACCACCATTGCTGAATTTGAAGGTGGAAAACCGGCTAGTGGGCGGGTGGAATTTTTTTTGTCAGTTTATTGTGGATGCAGCAATTTCAAATACACACTTTTTAAAAAATGTATTTATTTGACTTCTTTTCAAACACAGTACCTGTACAATACCTTAAATCTGTTAAAGGTACACTGAGTTTACAAGTTTGTTCTATCATGTTTTGCTCACACTTGAAAAGACAAGCGATTATGAACAGTAGTTTAGATGGCACATGATATATCAGAAGATTCTGTAATTTGCCGACAGGAAATTTTGTATGTAGCACATTGTGCGTCATGTATTGCATTAAAAGTTAATTAGCCGGCTGGTGTGTGTACACAATTTTGGTATTATTAAATTGCACCCTAAATTGGTTGACTTGAAAATAATAAATTCCTGAATAAATTTTGATATTATCTTGTTTGTGTACCCAATTGTCATTCTAGATTTTTAGGAAAAGTCTTTGTTCTCAATTTTTTTTTTAATCATTAACGGTAAAGGCTTTTTCCGTGATCTCCGTTAAGAGAATGTGTACGGACCATGGTTCTTGTTTTTTCTATCTGAGCACTAAGTGGAGATATATGATAGTTTCACTAATAGAAAAGTAAGACAAAAATCGAAAAGTGTGGCAACTAGCGTGCATCAATCTATTCTAAATCAACAGACATTCCAATAGTTTACATTGTGATTGCTCCACAAATCTAGACGTCTGTCCACATTCTATTCCAGATATTTGAGTATATATACTTTGCAAGTTGACAGCATTAGTCTTTGTGAAGTCACATTTTGTTTATGATGCCCATTTTTTTCTTTTCCAGGGTACAGCCAACAGCAGACACAGTGCCGCATTCAGAAGTGCACGACCGACTTTGTTTCTTTGACGTCACACTTGAATTCTGGAAGCGATGGCTTTGATTCTGAATTCTGTAAGGCCTTGCGGGCATATGCTGGTTGCACACACAGGACTTCCAAAGCTTGTCGTGGAAACCTAGTCTACCATTCTGCTGTTTTGGGCATTAGTGATCTCATGAGCCAGAGGAACTGTTCCAAGGATGGTCCCACATCTTCTACAAACCCTGAATTTTCAAATGATGCTTGTAACTATCACAGCAGGGTCACAGCAAGAGAGCTACAGGTGGGGGATCAGACTCAACCAAATTATCTTTTTTGTGGCTTGTTTGGAGACCCACACTTGAGAACTTTTAAAGACCATTTTCAAACATGCAAAGTGGAAGGTGCTTGGCCTCTAATAGACAACAACTATTTGTCAGTGCAAGTGACAAATGTACCAGTAGTTCCTGGATCAAGTGCTACTGCTACAAACAAGGTAACCGTAAGTTCCACGTGCCTTAACATGCATTCACTTAGTGGGAGGCAGAATTCATACTAAGTCAACTGTAAGAGTGAATTGTGGGTTACAATTAGCAACTGCAATTACACTGTGTACTCAGCTTTCTTTTCTACATGAGACACATAAAAGTATATTTGCTTTACAACATAATAATATGTTCTAGAAGTAGATTGTAGAACATTTCCACGATTGCAGTTGACATTTTATCGCAAGTGCCGTCCTTTTAACTTTCTTGATTACAACCCTGATCTGGAGCAGACCAGCATTTCAAAGTTTATCATATAAAAGTTAAATTTTCTTAAGTTGTGTTGAGTGTTATGGTACATCCTCAGACTGAAACGAATTACAGCAGCCGAATGTAAATGCTTGTAAAACGTGGAATAAAACTCAATTACCTTCAGTAAAAAAAAAAAAATGAGGAAAAACATGTAATATAGAAAACAAACAAGTTGTAGAGTGACTTCCTCTACGGCCTTACCACGTGGTGCTGATCATTGTAGATTGTCTTAAATAAGTGAGAGTATGGTGTTAGAATAATTTTCTCCCAACTCTGTTAAATCTATTTGATTTATGTATGTGCATTGTCATTATTTTCCCTGTGAGCTTGCTATCTGAATATAAAAGTGCTTTACATGATATATTATTAATGGGACACTCCATGCAACTACTTCACTACCCAGTGAGTGCATGATAAATAATGTACTTGACCTAATATGTGTCTGTTTTTTCCAGAGTGGTAGATTTAAAAAAAATAAAGTTTGTATTCTGTGGTCTCGCAGTCTAGAGGGAATAGAAATGGCCAGTCTCTAATTCGTTACCGGTGTTCTATTTTTCACTGGTGTTGAAAGTTTCATATAAATCTCTGCATAACAGACCATCCTAGATACAGTAGTTACTTGATCTGATCTGGTCTTGTCCATTATTCATTTGTTTTTTTTGTTTCTCTCCAATGAGAGCCCCAGATCCATATTGTTGCTTTCATTTTGTTTACTAGCTTATCTTTTTAAGGCCTCGATTTAATGTTTTTAGATTAGCTTTTTAAATTATTCAGAGACTTTATTGGTGATTTTATGTAGGTAAATCATTTGAAAAGGTTTTTTTTGTTTTATTATTTTCCTCTATCAAGTTGTGTTCATTTGAAAAGCATATTCAAAAATATTAAATGACCACTATGCTGCAAGGAAAACATACTCGTCTATAGGGTCCTCTGGGGCCCCCCTCCCACCGGGCTCTAGGGTGAGGAAGGGGTTAATCCCTTACCTTTTTTTCCAGCGCCGGGCTCCCTCGGCGCTGGGGAGTCTCCTTCTCCTTTCCCGTCATCGGCTGAATGCACATCTCAATGCTTTCCTATGGACGCTGGCGTCTTCTCGCTGTGAAAATCACAGTGAGAACTGCGGAAGCACCTCTAGCGGCTGTCAATGAGACAGCCACTAGAGGCTGGATTAACCCTATTGTAAACATAGAAGTTTCTCTGCAGGGTTAATCCTAGATGAACCTGGCACCCAGACCACTTCATTGAGCTGAAGTGGTCTGGGTGCCTATAGTGGTCCTTTACATAGAGCTCCCTCCCACCTTTCTGATCGAGGTGAAACAGGCTCAGATCCACTTCTGGTGACCTAAATTCTAGATAACTATTTTTCTTTCTTTCTTTTTATTTTTTTTTTATCTTCATTAACTTTGAATTTTGTAATAATTTTTTTTTTTTTTTGCTGGTTTTGGGTGTTGTGTTGGGTGTTGTTTGTCTTCAAACTTTTAGGACACAGTCCATAAAGAATATTTATTTATTACAACGGGGTCCGCTAATATTTTTATATTAGATTAACTGAGAATCGCACGATTAGCACAGCACTACTAGAGTGGCAAGTTTACAAACCTGCCTATGTCAAACAAATGTGATCTTTACATCTTTATTTTAGAACCTGTTCATTTACTTTTATTTATATAGCGTTTAAATTGTAACTGGAAAATCCAGCACGTTTGTGCATCATTCCCTGACATGGTGGGAGGCAGTAGCAAAGAACAGCCTGTTAATGACTGTTCCCCTGTGAGAGCCTTGTAGGGAGGAGAGGAAAAGAGCAGAACAGCCACTGCAATGAATACCGACTTTGTTGGTATATGTGTGAATGCAGGTATGTTTGTGTATGTTGGTGACTGCGTTTTGTAAAGGTGTGAGTAAATGTGTGTATACATAGACACAGTGCAGGTATTTAAGGACCACAACCTACAAAATAAATTATTAAATAAGGACAATAAGCTAAAATGGCAAATGTCTAGTTATTTTGGGAAATATGTGTTGACCTTTTGATTTAAAGAAACGACATTCTAAATAAAACTATCCTACTTTATTATTATTATTTAACATAAAAGATTACATGTATAATGGCCGCTTTTGTATATTATATTGTACTGCATACATAGAAGTAAATGTCAAAACATCACCTGATTTAATCTTGCCCTATGGGGACGGCCATGTTTAAATCCTCTTTTTGGTTGTGAGTATGTGAGGTGCTAGTATGATTCACTGACATCATCCCTAATTGCTAACCATGCACTCTGGGATGGTTTCAAAATGTGCACTTAGCAGATAAGTTTTGTCCAAAGAGGGCTAAAAATGTATGTCCCCCACTGAAAAGGGTATTCCAGGAGATGCATGAAAATCAGTTATTACCAAATAAGATTCAAGAAGGCAATTTGTATGTAATTTAAATTTCTTTTTTTTTTAAATTTTTTTTTTTTTTTTATAAATTTGGAAAATTTTCTTTTAACTTCAAAACCTAAACAAAATTGCGTATAAGACTTGAATCTCTCGAAATGTCCTGGACACTGCGGGATATTACACTTTGAACAGGTCAGGAGGACACTACAGTCTTCCATAGCACGGTTATAGTGTTTAAAGAGCCCCTCTTAGGGTTAACATTGGACTTGGGGAGTGACTATGGAGGTTGGAGATTTTTGGTTAAAAAATCATTTCTAAAGGTATACTCAGTTTCCCAAACCTCACACAAAATCAGTTTTACAGATCTATCTCCAATTAAAACATGCAAAAGCTGCAGATCTCTTGCCTGCATCCTTTCTTCCCCAGCCCAGACTTTCTGTGGCTGTCCCATGTGGCTCAATGAGCAGTCTTTACAAGGCAGGTGCTGCCTCTTGAGTTTAGCTTCACCGAGCTAAGCAACCTTGAAGTAACAGGACTGATTGTCTGACAGCCAGAGGTGTAACAAAGTTTTATAAAATGTATTATTTCTGCTGAAATCTGCACTTTTTGTAAAATTAAAAAGCAGACATTCTCTTTGCTCTTCAGCAAGCTAAAGGGCTTTAGGAGTCTGCAGTGTCCCTTTTAAGGTTGTTTTTAGTATCACAGTTAAGGAACACTCTAGATGCACTTCATCTCGATGCTAGTGGTCTGCGCCTAGTGTCCCAGTTCTCTTAACATTCTAATAGAAACTGCAATGTTATCATTGTAGGCCCAGGTTAAGTCAACCTCTAGTGGACCAGACAAAGTATAAGTCTACAATAGGCCCTTCTGCAGCACTGACCAAGTAACACTCTGTCACAGAGGCAGAGAGGTGAGCACCAATGTGGGGGGGGGGGAGAGCGTCTGCTGAGAATGGCCACAGATCTAGTTCTATATTTTCAAGCATCTGTGAGCTAAAATCTGTTCACATGGCTGCCATCACGGCAGGGCCCACATTGCTCTGGCAAACCTGGGCCCGGGGAGATATGGCAGTGTTGGGGCATGGGCCCTTCAGTCCCAATATACACATTTTATATAGCGATTATTGTTTTGTGTGTGTGTGTGTGTGTGTGCACGCGCACCCCTGTGGGTCCTCTAAAGCCTGAGTGCAGAGGGGGCCCAGCCAATTTCATCTTCGATTTCCAGCTGCCCCTTTTTCCAACGCCCCTCAGCCGTCAGAACGGTGCCAGGTTTATCATGCCAACGCTCGGAGTGGCACACATGCCAGGATCGTGAGCAATGGAGAGAGGAGCAGCTGAAAAGTGAACATGGCGTTGGCTGGGCCCTCGCTGCAGTATTCAGCGCCTGACAGCCTGCACAATGCCTCTGAAAATAAAATTGTATTTATCGTATTTATTAAATAAATTTATAAAATATAAGCTGTTTTGTTGCCCTTGAATGCAGCCCCTATTTTACACAACATATTTACACATACAGACACACACATACATACAGACAGACAGAAAGACACATATATATATACACACACACATACATACAGAGACAGACACATACACACACACACACATACAAAAGGTTTCCTGTTTCCTACCTTTTGCAGGAGGGTGACTTTCTCTGGGGTCCAGTGGGGGCTAAGCCTGATGGGAGTTCCCACTCTGACTCCCTCCTTCCTTCAGCGCGGCTCTCTGATAGCTGGGAGGAGTGTCGGGAAGTCACTTCCTCCCAGCTCTGTCTGATGTCATTACAGGGGGTCCGGTCGCGCTGTTAAAGCGCCCAGCACTGACCGGGTCGCCTGGAAATCCATCTCCATCGGGTGGCCCTAATAGCATGGGCCACCCAATAGACCCCTTTGAATGGCGGCCACGGCGGCTTGCCGCCTGGGCCGCAACACATGGCGGCTTGTACCCAGTCGCAGGGGTCCGCAGGGCGGCCGGGTCCCCTGGAGTACGCCACTGACTACATCCGCAACAGTTTCAAACGCTCTGCATTCACTATATGCACACTGCATCCACTGTACACACTGCATTTATTACACACAAACACTACACCCACTGAATCCAATAAAAAAACAACCACTATAAGCACACCGCACTCATTACACACACCGCATTCAGTCCACACACTGCATTCTTGTGGCCGGACTCAGAATGGGCCCTCTGGGCAGAATCGGGGCCAGGCCCAGAGGGCCCAGACCTTGAGCTGTGTAAGGGACCCCAAAATTTCTGATGGTAGCCCTGACTGTTCTACATAGCTTGTTTAAATAAAAATAATCCATGTGTAATGGCTATACCCTTCATCCCTGCAATCTGTGCTAGAACAGCTCAGCAACATATAGCAGATTTGTGCAGGAATGAAAGGGTTACTAACACTCCACGCTAGCTAATAACATGCATTTTATGAAAGTCTCTCTCTGCACGGAATGAATACTGCATTCATTCTTTATGGGCAGCCAGCCCTTGCAAGGTGTGTGTTGTATGTAAACTGTGGGGCATCTGTCAGCCTTGACTTACTTGTGCATTGTGTTTAGCAAACCGGAATGCTGTTACAATATGTTCTTTATTACAGATTTCAGTTCCCTGGCATCTGTGCATTTTATTGTATTCTGTGACAATAAAGCAAAGACAAATTTAAAGAGAAATCATAGAGACCCAAAATTGTACAACGCACTATATAGCCTAAAGCAGGGGTGCCCAAAAGCTAGAACTAAAACTCCCACAGTGCTTTGTCATTCTAAAGGCATGCAAAGCATCGTGGGAGTTGTAGTTTAAAACATCTGGGGATCTACCTTTTGGACATCGCTGGTCTAACGTAGGTAGAAACCAGACCATCACCATGATGTGACCTGGGGGAGAATTAACTGAAAAATGTTACGTTTTAAGCCCAGAGCTGTAAAAGGTAGCTGACTTGGAGTTTTCTGCTTTTGTAACTTAAAATATGCAGTTCTCTTTTCAGTTCTCTGAAAATTCATTTAAGTGGAAAAACCCAAGTTCTGTAGCCCTGGTTCTTCAAAATTAGCATGACGACGAGGGGACATTTTTCTCTAGAAAAAAAGGAGAAAAAAAACAGTCTAAACAGATTTGAATAGGGATACCAGTGAATGGTATAATTTGGGTATCGTTGTACTGCATGAAATTTTGCGCTTGATTTAATATTGTTCTTTAAGCTTTTAACATGTTTAATATTTATTTGAACAATTTGAAAAAAATATTTTCAAAATTAATCCAAAAATATTTAATGAGTGTCAACCATTTATAATGTGATTTTTGTTTTTTGGTTTTTTTGTGTGTGCCGTAAGCCAAAAAGGATTCTGAAAGATTTTTGCACAGATTATTACGGATATGACAATGTATACTGGAAGTGAAATCATTAGCTGCTCTTTCATTGTAAACGTCTTAAAATAAGTTTTATGAATGACAATAAAAGACAGTGTTTGCACTAGCTTAAAGGGACTTTTTAGAAGATAATGGAAAGCGATCGCTTTATGTGTTCTCTCAAGTATGAGGTGCTCCGTGTCCATTTTTAGTGTGGATTTGAAAACGTGTTTTATTGAGAAGACTGACAAGAACCTTTTGAGAATGGTGATGTTTAGAGTCTTTAGAGCAGAGGTCTTCAAACCAAAGGTCCAGGTTTTGTCAGTATCCCCCATTGGAACAAAACAAGGAAATACCTAAATCCTGGACTGGATTACGAACCACTGCTCCAGATACTTCCATAGAGGTTTTTACAGAATCTTGCTAAAGTAAGGTGCCAGCAGTGAGACAGTTTGTATTTTACAAAAAAGTCTCATCATCCACATACATTCTCAATGATAGGAGCTGACATCATTGAAACGTGTTTTCAGATCAATGTTTTGCAGGACGTTTCTTCCGGTCACAATAAATCACAAGCACTCCCATTGCTGGCTGATGAGTCATTGAGAAGCTGATAAAGCTAATATAGAAGTCGTTTGGCATAGAACCTCTCACAGGCTTCACGTTTGTGGTGCAGTGTGCATTATTTCTGGATTGCTGAGTGTTTGATCACTAAATTGCAATTGTATCATTCACCATTCTGACATTTAAAGTATGTCATGGTGTGATAGGAAATAGATGTTCCAGATGTATGTCGTTTATTGATTTATTTATTTTTCCATCCCTCTTTGAATCTCTGACTCTCCAGGGAGCATCCAGGCTTGGATGATCTCATTCCCTGTCTTAAAATATTTGTTTCAGGTGTGCGTTGAAATGTAGCAAGGTCCTTAGAACTGAAGTTTGGTCATTGCTGGAGCATGACCAGAGGCCATAGCCTTCCGATCCCCAGGCATCTGTGGGAATCGATAACCTTTCCACATAGACCTCCCAGTAGGTTTAGATGATAACCTCCCGAGAGCCCTAAAGTAAAGTCTAAAAACAATGTTCTTTTCTCATTTTTGAAAGCAGTGACATCATCCCTGTTGTCTGATTAAACATGTTCCTTAGTGGCAGACTGACAACAGCAGGTAGTACAGTAGTTATCATTCCTTGATCTAGTTACATAAATCTGCACCGTCACATTAATGTCTATGCATATTTTGTAAAGACCCCCAAAGGCAACATTCTTGCTTTTGTATAACAGGTTACGAGTGAACTTAAAGGTGTGTATACTGTATGTAGTTCCCCAAAGCTCTGTCATAGTTATACAGTAGTCTAGGTTGAAAAATGGCTAAAGTCAATAAAGTTCATGGATAACGCAATCTTCTTTCTTCTGCTCATGGTGCTCTCTGCCAGGTTCCCAAATCTCAGCAGTGTATGCACGAGTACGACACAGGTCTATGGGTAATACTACTGGATCCTCCATAGACCAACTTTTGTGAAGTGCAAGAAGAACCATTTTCTCTCCAGCCATTGATGGCAACAACTTGACGGAGAAAGCTACGCCTTTTTCTTGACTTGGGCATTTCTCATGAGACAATACTGATACTTTGTCTTACGATAACTTTTGATTGAGTAGGAGTTTCAGTATGAGTGTTTTATAAAGATTTTAATCTTCCTGAAGTACTCAGATAGTGACATGAAGTGACAGTGACTGCTTGAACAAGGCATTTACCAGTACAACAAAAACTAGGCCTTACCAAATAGCTTCTTTTATTGAGCTTAGCACTCGTAGTAATTTATTAGTCAAATACCAAATTGTTGTTCAGTTGGCAGCCAACCACACGTTAAAATTCCTCAGTGATGTGTTATTTCAAAATGCCTTTTCGTAAACGTTTACTGTGTGCAGTTTAACTATTTATCACACTTTTCTGTATTGGCTTTTGGTTCTTTAGGTGCAAATTTGAATGAGTGTTGGCACTATATACATTCCCCCCCCCCCACCTCCCTCCATACATTGTTAATTTTTAACTTCCTAGTACATGCCCCATCAAGTGCACACAATCATATGTTTGATGTTGCGCATTAGATAGATGACTGCACGTCCAGTTGGTTCTTGAGATAAATTTACTGTGAACAATCATTGAGGAAGTTTGCCCCAGTAGATCTGTTTGTGGAAGCTTTTTATAACCTTGCCTTTGTACTTTTATTACTGCTGAATGCAGAGGGCTCTAGCTAGATTCAAATTAGAATAGAGTTTTATCTGTGTGTCTGCATGGAACCTAGAGAAGTCCTATGTGAGCTAAACAACCACTAGGAAAACCTGAGAGGTGGGGATTCTAGAGCTATAAAAGGCAGCGTACACAAAGATTCCAAATGTCGGTTTCAGTGATCTTGTCCGCCACAATGGTCCTGTCCGCCACAAAGCATTAAAGCGGATTTTTCAGTTGTCATGCATATTTTGCAAGACCCCCAAAGTTGACTTCTCTGCTTAGGGTACAGTGGCCATGTCATGACAGTGGATGGCCGTTCTACTTGTCTGAAGCAGTCCCTCTCAGCCACTGCCATCTTCTTCCCGAAGACCTTCTTCATTGCTTCATCTACCAGGAGCCACGTCAGAGATCGTGGGAGCCTCTACAGATTATGTCTCGCGATGAGCGAGACTATATCGGATTCCCGCAGCCGTCACATGTAATACCTACTAGGATCTGAATAAAATTCAACTGCGAAGCTTTTGCCCATAACACAAAGTAATTCCTGCATTGTTTGATGAGATCTTTGGATTACACTGGTATTTAAATGAAACACTGTCAATTTGAGTATCGAAGTTTTATTTATTTATAAAAAATGCTCAGAAGTGACAGAGAAACTTTAACATTGTCTCTCTATTTTTGTAGTAGAAAAAGTACCAGCAAACATATAGATATAATTGATTTTCTTAGCTCCAATCAAAGCCTGGATCTTTAAACCTGCAGGTGTTTTATTTTTGGGTGGAATTTCCGCAAACAGCAACTTCGTCGTTTTGGGGTGTGTGTATGTTTGTGTGAGGTGTGGTTGTTTTTTTATTTTTTTTATATATATACTTCGCCACATGACTTATATTCATTCTTACTGATATCATGTTGAATTGGCAAGGATGTATGCTTTGTTTCATGACACATGGGTTCTAGATTCGGAAAGAATATTCTATGCAACAAACAGAGTTTTATACCTTTGGGCATGCCAAAACCGTTTGTTTATTAAGATATTTTTAATGCCGAACAAACAGACTAAATTTACTGTTTTTGAGAACAATTAAAAATTATTGTTCTGTGTTTTTTTTTATTTTTTTTAGATATACTTGCATTCTGTAAAGAAGGCTGATTGCATTATGTAAATGTGGAATTTAGAAATGGGAACAGATGTGGTCCTTAATGGATCTTATTATGGGAAATGGTCTTTTTCAGTCCTCTTGGGATAAACAGATCTTCGACGTTACAACTGGTTTTCTAACCCCCATTTTTAAGTGTAAGAAATTGCAGGAAGAAAAGCATTCTTTAAAATTTGTAGATTGCTTATCCAGTGCTGTAATATTTACCAGATGGAACAGATATATGTCCGGACTGTTAAGGGGGCTTAGTCATCCAACTGTTGAATATTAGTATTTAGGTTTAAGCATGGCCTTATCTTACATTTCACAAATCTTCCAATTTGTAATACCTATGATAAACAGACCAGTGTATTTGGGTATAGGTAAGCCTTGGGGTTGTGGCTTATAAAACATATCAGCCTTCCTTAGAGTTAATTAAAAAAAAAAAAAGAATCTTCTAATTTCTTGTGCCATGTCCTTGTTCTCCTCATCTTATAGTCCTTCTACTTCATCCAGCAACAGCTGCCATTGTACCATCTTTATGGGTGATGCTGTCAGTGATTCCTGCTAATCAGTTTGTTAGGTTGACCCTGCTGCGTATGTCAAAGAAAAATACAACTTCCCCCAGTGGCATAGCTTGGGGGGCTCGGAGGGGGTGAAAAGTGCAGCCACAATGCTTACTAAATTAGGTGCCCGCAGCCATTTAATACTGCACCGGACAGTTCAGGTCACTTCCACCCCGCAAATAGGGTACTGCATGGGTAAGAGGAGAGGAACTGAAGAAGCTTGGAGTCTAATTCCCATCAGCCTCATTCATCCAGCTCCCACTGGACCCCAGGGAAGCCACCATTTTGCATCTAAAAAGTAATTAAACAGGAGGGTAGCTACAATATGTAAATGGTTATTTACTGTGTGTGTGTACCTGGGTCTGTGTGTACATTAAGTTCTGCATAACTGGTGTGTGTGTGCGTGCGGTAGGGTGTCTGTGTGATTTTGAGTGTGTGTGAGTGTGTGTGTGTGTGGGGCAATGTATATATATCAGCATTCCAACGCTAACATTGCACACTAATACACCCCTGCATTTCAACACTAGCACTGCATATAAATGCACATGCCGTAGTCTGTGTGGAGGGAGCGGGAATATGAATCGTGCCATATCCCTGCGCCTGGGGGCACTTCTTGGTGAGACCTGGCTGAGAGAGGTGGCAAATTCAGGGGCCGCCCCGGGCGGCAAAATGCCACTGACTGCCCCTATGACTCTTGATATACTGACGTCTATGCCGGAATATGAACAAACTGACTTCAGTGTTACTCTATTCTTTTGACAGCCAACCCCCAGATCTTATTTTCACTTACAAGTGAAGCCCTGGCATACTATTAAATTTGGCTGCAGGAGCCTCCATACACAGTATGTTTTCCCTCACAGTTGTCACTAGTGTGGGGGAATTGACAAAACGTGACAGAGGTAGCTCTGCATTTTGTCAAGCAGAGGAAAAATACACACGACAAAGAATTCCCTTCTTTTTATTGTGATATCTATTGACTGCATTAAAATTTCAGTGAAATTCCAACACAGTCCTTATGGGGGGATGTTGACAGAGCAGCTTTAACAGTCAACGTTTTGCTGTCAAGGTTTGCATATGCAAAAATTAAACACTGTTTTACGCCAGCCCGGGCAATGCTCTGTAACGTGTGAGTCCTAATTAATATAAAACGGCCAGCAGCCCTCACAACATGTGAGTTTGAAAGATACACGTCAAATCCAAAGAAAGATTGCAGAGCTCTGAGCCAAGTATTAACAGATCATTTCAGAAACTTTCCAATCTTATAAATATCATTTTTTCTTTCACCTTTACCACACATCTTTAGGCATGAGTTATGGAAAATGGACCTAAAACTGCCCCAGCAGGTTATAGAGCAGGGAGGAAATTGGCCAGGACACTTTTTAGCAGCAGTAAGGACAAGCAATAAAAAGCTCATGCAATCCAAAAAAAAAACATAAATGTATTCACACAATCACAATCTGGATGGATAGTGATTAAAGATGTGCATAAAGTTATTGTGAAGAGAAAGTTGATTTGGTAATGGACAAACCAGATTACCCTATTAATTCCTTTCCTGTCATTCTAATCTATTTGAGTAGGGATTTATTTAGTAAAACCATGAAACTCTAATCCATGTCTTTTAACCTGAATGGACGTTCTAATTATTAATCTGCATATGGTCATCTGGAGATCTACCATGCTGCTTCATTTGGTTCTGTTTTGATGTCTGGAGTTGCTGAGGTCGTTTTCTTTGACTCTCCAAGATTCATGTTTGCGTTTCCATGATAGCAGGAAGCAATTTTATTAAACTTTTTCTTGTGTGGGCGTGTACACCGTGCACAAATGAATTACTACTTCAATATGCAGACCTACACAACAAACATATTTTCTTAATTTTACCAGTGGAGTTTTGTTGTTGTTTGTTTTTATAGTCTGCTAGGGGTGAATTCGGTATTGCCAGACTGGTCCATGGCCAACTAAACCTGGGTGAATCTATTGGATAAATTCAGTATTTGCATAGTAGCCTTAATTATTTCTTGTGTCATTTATGCATTTACTACAGGGTGGTTTTATAGGAACACTCTAGTGCCCCTTTGCCCCGCCACAGCAATAAAGCGGATAAAAAAAAAAATTCCTTTACCTTACTCCAGCTCCGAGGGACTACCTCTGACGTCATCGCGAGGGGAAGCTTAATGTGCATACGCTGCAAAAACTGCACACGCATTAGGCCTTCCCCTTAGGAAAGTATTGACGCAATGCGTTCCTATTGGGATTTTGAAAATGTTGAGCGTCCTCAAGCAAAGCGTGAAAATGTCCGGCATTGTTACACTGAGTTAAACTCCACGAAACAGCAGAAAGCTCTGCTGGTGACTGTCTGGCAGACAGCCTCTAGAGGCAATATTGACATTACAATGAAAAATTGCATTTTCTCTAAAACTGCAATTTTCTCTACAATAGAAAAATACACTTAGAGCTCCTTGAATACTTGGCAGTATCCAAATGGTTGCTGTGGAAATCTAAGCTCAGAATGTTTGTGGTGATCGAGAGTAGCCATCAGGTTAGGTAAGGACACATTGGGATACGAATCCGCAATGATTGCAGGTAGCTGCAGCATTTTACCTGTCATTCTTGGGCTTAGTATACTGGTTCAAAATCCTCGTGAGTATACGCTGCAGGGAGTACTATAATTATTTCATTTGTGTAATGGTTCATTTATATTGCATGTTACGTTTTTAGGGTTAAGATATATTGACCAGGATTATTGCTTAAATTATTGCTTAATTTTGAGAACGTTTACTTTAACAGTTGTACTGCAGGACAGGAATTGTTTAGACTAGGGCTGACCAAATAGGAAACTGATGTACAACTAGATCCTCCATGATGCCCTTGGTTCATTTTGCCACTCCAGCGTTTTTATTCTAATTTAAGTTTTTTATATTTAACTCTGTTAATTTGTAGATATTCTGAGTGAGTTATCAGAAAGAAAACATTGAGATTATGCTAGTTTTCAAGAATGGCTTTGAAAATGTGTTTTGATTGTGCTTAAAAAATAAAATGCCTATATTCTTACATGGGGAAAAATCTTTTACATAATCTTTTGTTTGTACAAATTTATGATCCCCCTTCAGTTTTTGTTGTTCTCACAGGTAATGAGAAACCAGATTTGAATTATTTAAAAATCAATGAATGAAAAAACATGTTCGGGAAAGATGCTTTTAATAAGCACTAATGCTTCTACCACTGTGTGCCAAAGACGTGAACTGTTTACTTATTTGTTTTTCCTTGGGAAGAAAAGTATATAATATAGTGTGAGTGTGTGTGTATATATATGTTTGTGTAAGTGTGTGTGGGCATATAACACACACACACACACACACACACACGCACTATAAGATTGAAAACGGCTATTTAATAATGTGTGCCCAAGATCTAAGTGCAGCAATTTGTCAGTAATGAATGGTAATGGCAATTTGCAAACCTGGCAAATTGAGGATGTGGCAGGGAATTGCTTAGAAACCAGTAGTTGGCAGGAAACCTTTTGGAAGGCATTTGGAAGCATTGTTAATATTGTTTGTGTGTCTCAGGTCATAGCTACAGAAGTGGCAATGCGTGTTTGTAATTACAGTGCTGTAAACATTAATTCCCTCCCCCCCATATACACTTACCTCTTAGTATTTAAAACAGGAATTCACAGTCTGAGAGCCCATAGCACCTGAATAATATTTTACATTGGTATGTACGCCATACATTGCTACGGGATACTGGCCGTAAAAAGTAAACATGGATTTTTTAATGTAACACAGTTTGAAGTTTTGCTACTTTTTAAACAGACAGACCATATTCTGTGCACAGATCTTTGTCACCATAATATTTTCTTCAAAGTGCAATACATTTGTTTACAAATTGTTCCGTGTAAATAAGATACTTTGGTATGGTGTGAATTAAATTCTCATTTACATAAATGGTGAAAAGAATGCTCCAAGCACTATAACTACTACAGCACGATATAGTGTCAGGAGTGTCCTGGTGCCCTCCCACATTAAGTGGTCAAACGGTTTTTAAAAACAATTTCACAGCTTACGTGGCTCCCCTGGGTACCCATGGTTTTTATCCAGCGTCTGTCTGCACTCAGCCATGCGTGGCCCAGTACAGCCTATCAGAGTGACCCTGCTTATTTCAGTAGAACTAATTGGATTCTCTATAAACGGGGCTTTGTCTGTTGTCACTCCGATAAGCTGTCAAAACATTCTATAACTGTTTTTACTACTTAATCTGGGAAGGTGCAGGGCAATCCAGTCACGGTGACCACTACAGGCTGCAGCTGTTAACTGTAGTGGCTATGGTGCTTGGAGTATTAATTTAACTGTGAGTCACTTGACTATTGTGAAGTCCTCAATAGCCCCACCCACTTGTCACACCTTTGGCGACTTCCCTTTTTTGTTTGTTTTATGTGTTTGTTTCTGTTGTGTGTGTGTGTGTGTGTGTGTTTTCTTCCCATCATGTAGTTGGGTGGGACTTAAACCCTTGATTAAATAAGAGTGGGAGCAAATGAGCTTCACAAACTTCTGGGAAGCACTTTTAAGTTGTGCCTGAAAAGAATTAAGAATAAATAAAAACAATCTCTCTGCATTCCTGGAGAATTCTAAATCCATTTATGGTCCCTGGACTAGCGTGGGTTAAAGTGTGAAGACGTAATCCTGCTTTGCATCTCAATGTCTTTGTTAGTGAGCATTTAATTCCCTGTTTATAGATTTCTGTTTAAACTATTTACACATCATATAGATTCAGACACAGAAAACACCACAAATGGGAAGATTAACATTTATGAGTCAGTTCTGTCAAACAGACAAATTGCTCAGCTTTGGAAGAAACGTTGAATCCCTAATTTAGTGTGTTAATGTTATGATTGTGGGTTGCCTAAGGTACCGATTAAACAGTGAAACCTGTCATTTGTCTCTCATTATAGTTAAGTTCCGCCTCACAGGTGTTGAATAAACTTGTCTGAAATGTTGTCTTTCCAGTCTACGATGGTATGAAGAAATCTTTAAAAAGCCTATAGGCTGATTTTGCACTTTTTTTTTTTTGCTTAGTAATCTATCTTTCAAGACAAGTGGCCAACAAAGTGTCTGGTTTCAAGAACCTTGCTTTAAATGCAATGATGGAGATTATTCTCCAAATCTGTGGTTCTTCTCTTCTCTTCTTTTTTTTAAACATTAGTTTGAAAACCTATTCTTCAACTGTGAAAATAGGCTTGTGGACTTTTTTTTTCTTAAATTTTAGTTTAATAAATGCAATAAAATATATTTTTAAAATATCTTTATTCGAATCTTAAAGCGTCCAATTGTAAAACTATCTTGATTGTGTTCTCTCTTGTTTCTGTGGCTTTTTATTTAACATTCAGAGTCTTTGGAAAATTCTCTGTTCTACGCTAATAAAACCTTAGATATATTCAGATTGCATTATTGACAATTTCCCTTTCCTTCTCTCTCCTAGATAACAATAATATTCAAATCTTACCAAGACTGCACGGAGCAGAAGGTGTATCAAGCTGTGACAGATGACTTACCATCAGCTTTTGTGGATGGCACTACTAGCGGTGGGGATAGTGAAATGAAGACCTTAAGGATTATCGAGAAAGTCGGTGGAAAGCACGTCGTAATGCATGCCAAATACATTGGGACCACAGTGATCGTACGTCAGCTTGGAAACTACCTAACGCTTGCAATTCGTATGCCAGAGGACTTGGCGATGGACTACGAGGAAAGCCAAGACTTACAGTTGTGTATGAATGGTTGTCCATCTAGTGAACGCATTGATGAGGGTGGACACCTTCGGCTCCCATTAGTGGTGAACAGCCCACCCAGTAATTCTAATCAAGCTCGCTCAGTGTACACACTGGAGAGTGCCACTGCAACGTGTCTTGAGAAAATACAACACAAGCACATCTACTTTAACTCGTGTGTTTTTGACTTGCTCACTACCGGAGATGTGAACTTTACAGCTGCTGCTCAGAGCGCGTGGGAAGATGTTGAAACCCTACACCCCAGAAAGGAACGCTGGCAAATCTTCCCAAACAGTGGAAATGGGAGCAAGACATCCGCTTTGCCAGCTGTTGTCCTTGGGCTTGTCTGCCTGTTCTTTGTTGCATTTTTGTAGGAGTGTATTATAAAGTGTAAAATATATATTGTTATAATATATTGAGCAAAGATAAGAGCATATATGTATATACCGTGTATATGAAGGGATGCTTGTCTTGGGATACCCATGAGATTTGTATATATTGTGTTTTATGGTTTATTTTTGTTTACTTGCATTGGATGTAGTATTACATTTATTTTTTATTCTTTTTTTTTTTCATTTTATTTTTTCTTCCTTATGTTTTACATGTTCCTTTTATTGGAATCTATTAGAAAGCACTTTATTTTTTATCAAATATTTATGTGTCAATACCGCGGTACGGAATTGTGAAAGAAAAAATTATATATGTTGGCGTGTGTTTATTTATGTATATAATATATCGTTATATACACACACCCCAACATATTGCTACACACAAACCTTTCTAAGTGTTTACTTTTTTTTTTTTCTTTCTTTTGGGACTTTTCTTTTTCCACTTGACATTGTGAAAATCATTACAGGTTATGCAAGAATCTTTTATTTTTTTGGTGTTTTAAAATATTACTTATTCTTCAGAACTGTGAATGGATAGACATTTCTGCAGTAGCGCTATCTAGCATCATGTAGAAAAAAAAAAAAAAAAAGTAATTCTAAAATCCAGGCAATTCTCTCTGGTAATGTCATTTTAAATCCACAGATTTATTTATGAAACCAGGAAGTGAGAAAAAAATAAAATAAAAAAAATGTCAACTCCTGGCCAAATATCCAAACTGCAATGGTCTCCAATGGGTTATTCACGAAACCAGAATTATCCATAAATATACAATTGCAGATTTCATAACTAAACTAGACAAATCTCACAATGTGTAATTTTTAGGCTTGAAATTTGAAATTCCCTTTTGATTTCTACTTGGTGATTGTTTTAGTGACTAACTCACCATGTCACTCGCAAGGTTGGCAAAATTAAATGGTCTTATCCACCTGTTTAATTTGCAACCCAAAAGCTAACTGACAAATTATCCCATAACTAATTAAAGGAAACCCATCTGTAATTTGTGAACCATGGGCACCGATTTTGGAATGAACAAACCTGATTAGAGTGCAGTCATTTTACCAAACTATGAGATGATCCTCTTACAAGGGATAAACGTACTCTGATACACTTCTCCACTCAAGTTTAAATTGTTGCAACATCAAATTTAGTCCAAATTGGAAAAACTGACCAAGTCATTTTTTATTTCATTTTTTTTCATTATTATGGCCTTTTTACCTAAACTTTTTAAATTCACTTCGTATTTTTGACCAGTCACACTTCAGCGAATGATCCTATGAAAACAAATGATGTAATTACTACAAATATGCTTCTCTCTTACAATAAAATCTAGCCCCACAATAGTTCTAAAACCTTGGTTGCTGTAGTGAATAGAGCAACCAAAGAATGATTCATGGTATAGATAATTAGTAGCATAATGAGATTTAATTTTTTAAATATAAATCTAGTGCTAACAGAAAAATTCTAAAAATGAAGCGTTCGACACGGAAGCTAATAGAATGTTATTGAAAATTCTGCTGGTGTCTAAAGTGGCTGCTTCACTTTCACAACCCGGCCTGATTTTTCTTTTAGCACCGTGTTAAGGTGTTTATCTAAGTAAACCGTAAAAAAAAAATGTAAAAATTGTCCAAGAATGGTTAGAACAAGGGTGTCCAGTCGTGGCTCTCAACTGGTGCTGGGCTGAATTTTACAAACTTTAGTCCAGAGACAGCTGTAGAACAGTGACACCCCTGGTTTTAGAAGCACAAATGTGCCTATGAAATATTAACCCTTTGAACGGCACTGGTGTGTGTTATGCATTAAGTTGCTATCCAGTATGTTCCTATCTGTAGCTGTCACAGGGTTAATATTTGAGTTATATGTTGGGGGGTTGAGGGCGGGGGGGGTTAGATTAGCACTTCTCAGTTTTTCACTCTCTGCCCAGCTCGGGGAATTGAGAAAACGTTATTTGCACATGTTCTCGAAGCCTGCGGTGGCTAAGAGAGCTTTAGATAATGCCAAACATATGGATATTTAGAAACTGGTGAACTATCTCCAGAGAGTGTTAAAACTTTCATGGAATATGCTCAAAATGGCTGACTTTTCATGCTTGGAAAAACCCACAATGTGTCTTTTTTGCAGAAACTTTTAGATGTGGTTCATAGATATGCCAATAAGTATCTGTTTGTGTAAGAGTGACTGTGCATTGTGTAAATAGTTTAACTTATTATGCTACAAAAATAAATTTGAATACCCGACGGTAACAAGTCTCGAGTCAGAAATGTGTTGTTACGGTGGCCTCCAGCTCTGTCTTTCAAAATACTGGATTTTCGGTGTTAACTGAATTTGTCAATGATAAGAAGAAAAAAAGTGCACAGATTTAACCTGTTGGGTACAAGAAGTCTCTAACACTCCAAGGCTTATTAAAGTGGCACTCACTGGGTTTTGTAGGCAGCTAGTCAGCTTGTGTAATAAATCCCAGTATAATGTAAAAATAATGTAAACAAAACTCAACTGGCTTTAATTATTTTCTTTAATGGTGAGGTGCCAGCTTTGAGTTATAAATAGTAAATTACACTTTTTAAAGGGGAGCCATCATTCTCTAGCATTTTTCCTATTATATTTATGTCTTACATTTTAATAAATAATGCTTGAGGTTTTTAGTAAAATGAAATTAAAGGTAGAAATTCACACCGCTTTATAAGCTCTGCCCTGTGCACATGTCAGCATTGAGGAAGTGAGACAATTTTTCTGTTTCTCCAACTCAGTGCTGCCATCACTGGGTAAAGCCTATACAGCTGTACCACACATTAATATAATATATTATGCACTAGTGGGCCCCTGCTTATGTAGTTTAGTAAAGAGGGGGTGCAGATGAAGATTCACCTACGGCAGTGTCCTCTCGTGCTGTGAGAATGTTGCCATGGGTTGCCATGCCAACTCTAAATGCGGCAGGAATGCCTGGCTAATGAGACGAAGAGAGAAGTTGCTTCCTCGCTGCTGGAGGTGTGACATGGAATCTCCTGGGCCCCCTCTTTAGTATACAACATGCTGTGCCACAGGACCACCATCAGCTCCTATCCAACCCCACAAACACACACTGCATCCACTTTGCTCATTCTTGTGGGCCAACTCGGGGGCAGGTCCTGTAGGAGAACTCATGGGTGAGCCCCGGGGGATCAAGCCTTGAGCTGTGTAAAGGACCCCAAAACTTCTGAGGACAGCCCGGCTCCCACTGATACGCAATGTGTGAACTGGCTGTTTCTGGGCTGAACTAGAATGTGATGCTATTTACATATGCATTTGTGAGGTGTGAAAAAAAAGAAATTGCATGTAGAAAACCACGCCATTAATCAATGTTATAAGATCTGTTGCACTTGGCAGTCATCATAGAGAAAGGGAGAAATGGAACACTGTTTCTATTCCTTCTCTTTGCCTTTACGTTCTCTGATCAAAAGCAACGCTTAAAGGACAACTGTCACATCAATGCCATTTTAATATAATAATCCTTACATCGAGTTTTAAAGGGAAATACGTTTTTTGGTTTTTATATCCTTATGTGCAAGTGATGGGCATCTCAAAAATGTCAGACCTTCAAATTCTGCATGGTCTTAGGTCTAGACTCTAGCATGTAAGTGATGTTTCTGACCAAAGAAGGCTAAATATGACTGACCCTATCAAGGTTGTATTACATTAACTATTTTTATTTTCAGTAATAATAAAAGCATGACCATTTTTATTTAATGCCCATGTGCATTAATACACGTTTGAAACAGCACCAATTACAGTCTGGTTTGCCACCATCCTGCTGATTAAACATAACTACACAAATTCTGGTGCCCAAGTTTTCTTTATTTGCCCAAGTCCAGCCTTTCTTTGCCCCCAGATTTATTTAATAGCCACGTGATCAAGACAGGGTATCCACTCTTTGAGATGAGCAGACATCCAGAAGTTACCTTTGTAATTACCCATTTGTGTAATGGTATGGATTGACCACAACTCCAGTATTCAAAAGGTTACATCTAGACACCAAAACTATTGCAATCAGATATTATGCATATGGCTTCTAAGGAGAAATACGAGTTCTGCTTTAAATCCATGTTTTGTAGGTTTGATAAATAATTGAAGAGAAAGCACCATAGCCATTTATGGTTGGAAAGCTGGAGTGGTTATACTATCGTTGTAGTTGCTACATGTAGAAGTGTGTAAGTTAAAAAGTGGAATTTTGGTTATACAGTTGTACTCAAAATTATTCCACTCTACCCTCTCCACCCTCACCCCCTTTAAAATCAGGTTTATTGTCAAAAATTACAGACTTACAGCTGTTTGCAAAGGACAATCAAACAAAAGCAATTGAAGTAGCTCAACACAACATATGCTTCAACTGGTTTCCCCAAATTCAACTGAAAATGCAACTTATGACTTCTCCAGTGTCAAAATCATTTGTACCCCCTGAATAGAATTCCTCACAACAGCACACAAATGCAAAACGGATGTTGTGTCAAGTACAACTAATCAAGGGCTTCACTCGTTGCACCAGGTGTGCAGGAGCTGGAACACTTGAAAGACCTGAAATTGTTAGGGGTTTGCTCAAGGCCGGCGTGTCCAGAAGCTCCTGTACCACTGTCGACTCTGCCATGCTACAATAAAGGTAGTAGACACACTGGAGAACTAAGGGGAGGGGGTTAGGAAAACTATGGGGGAGGAGGAAACCTTGGGAGGGTGGGAAAAGAATGCTATGGGACATGGGAGGGGAAAAAGAACACTGGGGAGATGAACATTGGGGGCACTAAGGTACAGGGGAGGGGAAGGATAATGAACACTGGGGTAGTCGGGGACCACTAAGATGGGGGTCTGGGAGGGACATTAAGGAGAATGGGGGGCACTAAGAGACATGTAAGGGGGAGGGAGGGGAGGGGGGTGGGGAGGAACACTAAGGGATAGGGAAGGAAGGGGGGGGAACACTAACAGACAGGGAAGGGAGAGCACCACTAATGGATTTGGAGGGAAGGAGAGAGGAACACTAAGGGACATGAGGGGGGAGAAAGTCCACAGAGAGGCTGGGGATGAAAGCACCACACCTAAGAGCCTGTGCGTGGAAATACAAAGGGGTTGGGGGCTAAAGAGACACAGAGGGGCTGGAGAAGAGGAAAAAGAGACACAGGTGCTGGGGGGAGATAGATGGGCTGGTGGTGAAAGAGAAACACACAAAGGAGCTGGTAAGAGTAAAAGACACAAAGGGTCTGGGAAAGAAGGAGACAGAGGCTGGGGGGAGTAAGTAACACAAAGGGGGCTAGTAAGATATACAAAAGGGAGGTGTAAGACACACAACAGGGATAAAATAGGGGATACGACACTAAAGGGGGTAAGGCATTTAAAAAAGGGGATAAGAAAGAAAAGGCGGGTTAAGAGGCTCCAAAATCATCTTCGCCTGTGTACCCAAAAATCCTTGCACCGGCCTTGGGTTTGCTGAGTGTCATGTTTGACTGCATGTTAGAAATATGGCTAAATCAAAAGAATGGTCCACACAGCTAAGCAAAGAGATTCTCACCCTTCACAAACAAGGAACAGTATACAAACAGATAGTGAAGACACTGAATTTTCCTAGAGACACCATTGGCAACAAAGTTCTCAAGTTCAAAGTTGAAGTAACAGTGGTTACACTACCTGGACATGGCAGAAAAAGGAAGCTATCAATGGCTGCAACCAGATTTATGAAATGGCAGGTTGTGAAAAACCCTTGTGTGACTGCAATAGACCTGCAGCAAGACTTGGTTGCAACAGGCACTGAGGTTTCAGTGAGTGCAGTACACCACTACTGACCCAAAAGCACAAGAAAAGTCAGCTCCAATATGCTCAAAATCACAGAAGTTTGGGGATTCTGTTTTATGGAACAACTTTTTGGCATGATAAATCAGCAGTATGTCTGGAGGAAAACGAATGAAGCATACGCTGGAAATAACACTCTGCCAACAGTTAAGCATGGTGCTGGCTCGGTGATGCTCTGGGCTGCTTTACATCCTCTAGCACTGGAAACCTACAGCGTGTGGAAGGCAAGATGTATTCATTAAAGTATCAGGAAATCCTAAGAGAAAATGGCATGGTGCCTGGGAGGAAGCTGAATCTTGGGCACCGTTGGACCTTCCAACAAGCCAATGATCCCAAGCATACCTCAAATTCCATCAAGGATTGGTTGCAGAAGAAGTCCTGGAAAATTATACAGTGGCCATTACAGTCACCTGACTTGAACCCCATAAAAAAATCTCTGGTGAGACTTGAACAAGGCGGTTGCATCATGCAAACCCAAGAATATTACTGAACTGAAGGTCATTGCTCATGAGCAATAGACTAAGATACCACAGGAACACTGCCAGAAGCTGGTGTCTGGCTAGGCATCTCATTTGCAGCAGGTCATAACAGCAAAAGGGTGCTCTACTAAGTATTAAAGATGCTTGCCATGAATGGGGTTAAATACATTTGAGGCTGGAGAAGTCATTATAAATTGCATTTTCAGTTGAATTTGGGGAAATGCAACTGAAAATGCAATGGCTTTTGTTTGTTTTGTTCATTGCAAACAGCTGAAAGTCTGTACATTGTGACAATAAACCTGATTTTCAATGGGTGTTGAATAATTTTGATTACAACTGTATATAATCAGTTTTGGAAGGTTTGGGAATCTGTGCCACTGTATCAAACTACAGCTCTTGGTGATAGAATGTAACAACAACTAATTAAACTGAAGCTTCCAAAGTTGCCCCTCTGGAGAGTGGTGAGTGATGCAATGTTAGAGGACTTGGCCTGGAAATTAGGGCTTATAGATAAATATTGGATTTTTGCCATTGAGGAAATCTGGACAGATTTGTAAATTTGAGTAAGTTCTATTTTATCACTGCTGGAGCGGCTTGATGACTTTTGGAACAGCTTCTGTTTATGAATCCTATTGGCAAACATATCCATTCCTTTCCTAAACCATTTGGTTTGACTTGTATTTTTAATTGAACAAATTGATCACAATCTCCACAAATTGGGCTAGGATAGATCTCGAACAGGTGTTCTAGTCAGGAGTCTGCTTGGTATTGTACAATCAATTTTCAGAAGGAAATTCATGTTTTGATGTAGGAATGGCAGCAGTAATGTTATCATCTTAGTTTAGACTGAAGGTTTTCGTCCCCTGGCGCAGGATCCAATATTGGTTCCCCATAGTATTGCAGTAAGTTCCCGATAATTGGACCAGGCACGATACCGATAGACTGGTTGGTTACTATAGAAGAAATA